CGACCGTATTGGATAATGCGCCGGCGGTCACGGTCAACCGTTGGGCGATCGGTGTGTGCGGTTTTTGGGGCCGACATTTTTTAACCCGCCCTTCCTCGGGGGAAGGCAGCACCGCTTCTTCCATAAATATAGACATGCTGATCGCCTGGAGGGAACACCTTACTGCCTTCACACTCCTGTCGCAGAGGACAGTACGACTTTACCCCCAGACCGCCTCGTACCACGATTACTCGTAGTGCGGGGTCTCGCTGCTCTTGTTCTGGCTGGTCCCCTTTGGCCTTCCTGGCATGGTTGTTGCATGCAGAACGAAGTTCCAGCCATTGTAGTCTGCGGGATCGCTGCAGCACTCAAGCCCGACCACCACGTCTAGGTGGCAGGTGTCGGGCAATTTTGGCCTTCCTGGCATGGTTGCACCTTGCAGAACGAAGTTCCAGCCATTGTAGTCTGCGGGATCGCTGCAGCACTCAAGCCCGACCACCACGTCTAGGTGGCAGGTTTAGGTCGGGCAATGAGTCTATAATGGTTGCTTGTACGGTAAATTCAAGAATATCCCCGGTTAATCCTTCAGAAACGCAATTTCAGGTTATAATCTTTTTTGTTTTCAACAACCTTGATTCCTATACGCATTATTGTTAACGGCCTTTAAGTAATACTGAAAAAGTCTAGGAAAGACAATAAACAAGCTCCACGGTTTTCGTTTGGTAAAGTATACCTTCAAAGCTGGAGTATGAAACTGAGTTTTGACGACTTCCTTTTTAATAAATACATGAATACTTCGCGCTTCTGTATAGGCGTTGCGCTGTCACAGTTCTTGGCATCCTGAAAATGTTTTCTATTGTTTTTAGTTGGATATAGGAAGATTGAGTCAGGAGTATAGGATCCATTTTCGCATTGTTTACGCTGCATTCCGATGGCATAACTTTCCCTGTTGATGTGTGGTGAGAGGGTTTCTTCTATTTATGAGCTTTTGCTCGCCGGTGCATATTTGATGACAAACAAGTTAAGGCCCGATAAATACCGTCCTTCATTTAAAATGAATATGTTCTTTTACACAGTACGCGATATCTATTCCTCATCTACATATCAGTGTTTTTCTGCCAAGACTTGCAAGATTGTATAGCCCTACCAATACGCCAGTTGGCGAATTCTTTTATCTTAAACTGCAGTTTATACACAATTAGCAGGTTGAATATGGTCACACAGGGTACAATATCCATGTTGTCATAGAAGATTTATCGGTGTTATAGCTTACGTAGCCACTCCACATTGACAGGTATTAGTTCGCTATCGTTGGACCTGAAAGGTTGCTTTGTCCTCAAATTCACATCTAACATGGTGTGTAAAATCAGATCTTCAGGTAATCCTCTGGTACGCCCCTAATTAGTTTTACAACTGAGAATAAAGTCTCAAAAATTCCACGGCCTCATGGTTGGGCACAGCGGTAAATGAAGAATCACTGTCAACAGCAGATGAATTCCTAAAACGCAACACGTGCCCATCAAGGTTCTTCGATAGGTTAGAAGAACCCCTTGATAGAAATCGTTTCATCGTCGAAAGAGTTCTTTTGGTGTGGAGAATAGATAGAATGTGATTAGCTCGGAAATGTTACTTTTAGTCGACTTGACATATTAGTAGCCAGTAGGTATTGTTCTAAAGTGGGTCACATCTTAGTTACGTTTGTAGCGTTGGACTGGTCATTTCGTCGGCGGTCAAGTAATCTTAGCCGCTGTAGTCCCAAAATATTAAATTTCAGTAAAGTAAAGTGGCAAACTACTGCCCCCTACGCTATAGGCAAGGGGCCTAAAATGTACATAATTACCGAAGCCAGTGGTGCTTGACAAACGTACTGAGGTCAGTGGTGTTGGAAAAATCTACGAGTTAGAAAAAGGAAGGTTCCTTACGCAATCGCGTAAGGGGGACCTTCGTGTAAGGGACCTTCCAACCAGCTGCTTCCAGTGTTCCTACGCGAGCCTCAGAGCATGAGGTCAGTAAAGTTGTTTGGTTTCTGTCCAAGTGACATCCGTGGACTTAACAAATTGATCGTAGTGGTCCTATTTCTACTGCGTGCGGTCTACATTAGAAGTTTTCTCTGGAAAGTGGGGCGTAGCGTTGAGCACCGTTAGACGCAAACACAGTAAACGTGTCTATAATCTAGGGATGGTGTTCATCTACATATACACAACAGATCATTAGTAAGTAAGTTTCGTTGAGTTTTGGTTTATCTCTAGGTTCCATGGGGATTTCGTCGACAACAAAACTGTTTTGGACCATCACCACGACTTACGAAGACAGAAAGTAGTCATCAGCCGATGAAGGTTGAGTTGTAAAGGATCCAGTTGGTGTTCCGTTTTCGTCACCCACCCTATTAATTTACGTACCACTAGTTTTGCTGAAGTTGTACACAGTAAACGCTTGCGGAAGAGTTGAACAAAGTCTAAAGTATTTCATTCTGAAGACTTGGTTCGCGGTTTCCAGGACTAATGATAAGCACCTAACACACAGTATATTCGAGAACGTTCACAAATGGGATTAAAATCGGAAGGTTTCCGTCAAATGTCGAACTAAAATAGCATCTACTGTTGGATAACTTGTTTATTTCGTACTTTACCAGTGCAGTACGGTTAAACTTCACCTAGGTATGCCTGGTCGCTTGCTGGCTTACGAGTGCTTTTTTGGTTTAAATTTGTGCTCCATGTGCTTGATGGATGTAGGTAACAAGGACTGGTGGATTCACAATATAATGATAGTAATATTAACAACAGGTATAATATAATATGGCGGTTTAGCTGAAGCACCCTTCTTGAGCGTAACTGCCATGCTACCCGGCGGAAGCACGATGATTGAGATACTGCCAGGTTGCCCAAGCCTAGGCAGGAGCAGTCGTGATGCAGAGGTCGGGTCAATAGGCTCGCGATTCAACCACTGGGCCATCTTGAGCTCACAACAGTGACAGTAGCATACCATCGGTAGTTATGAATCAGTTTTGGGGAAACAAAGTTCATTTTTCCCCGATCAGCAGACTGAGTAGACTTTTACAGATAAACATCTAGGTTGTTAGAGTTTCGTTGACTCTCCTTGAGACAGTAGCATCTTAGGGATCCTGTTACAGTTGTATGTAACGCTGTATGTAGCCGCGGAACAGTATAGCGACTTCAAAATCCCAAGTTGCTTATACGATGACTTAGCATCCTGCTTCAATAGTGAATGTTCGAATGCAAAGAAAAAGTCGAGGAACTCAGAGTTATCCTCTCACTCTTCGATCATGATTAGACATCTCATAGGTCAATGGTTAAAATCATTCTAGCTTTTCTGTTCCAGCATCCATCATACCAACATCAATGGATTCCACCAGACTGTTGTTTCTGTGGCTTGACCAATTGGCTTGAGCAATTTTAGAGGGTGCGCAGCCGAAGATCATCGTACTGCCGCAATAATTTTTGGCTTGGTTTTAGTGCGCAACTGGTTGTGCATCATCTCCGCAGTTGAGGTGAAGTTTCTGGATATCGGGTAAGTCACTAAATCTTATTCGTTTTCCCTCCATCAAACATCTGTTCAGTTGGCTTGTTAGTTTACTTGTTGTGGGCCCCTTGAAAGCCGAACTAACTAAGTTGTCCAATACAGTTTAGGCAGTCCTGTGCTAGTTGTGGCCAAGGGTTGGAGTTTTCAGTCACACAGTGTTCGCAATGAATAAATAGGCAAGGAGGATTAGGACCTTGAAACTTATTCCAACTAGTTAGCTACGATTTTTCAGGCAGGCGAAAGTAGCTATTCTTTGTTTTCAGAACAAAACATTGTGTTCCTCGCATTCAGTTAATTATGGTCCCCCCGTATGTTCGAATTCTTTGTGTTTTTTGTTTGGTGGCATATGTGGAAAGCCAGAAAGCATACAGAGGTGTGGCTCAAGCTGCCCGTGAAAGGAGGGCCTTAGCTGCGAAGTCATTTATTAGAAAATGCTAACTGAACAGTTACAGACTGGTGGACGGAGAAGCAAAACTCTCATATGCATTTTGTTTACAAAAATTGAATATCCATCCTCTCTTTGGACCTGATTTCCTGAACTCTCCTGGATGTTCTTTGACTGTTGCTCAAATCCAAGCAAATGCTACAAAGCGACTCCACAAATTCCGTAATAGATATCACTTTTCAAGAGACGCGAGGCGGATTTACGAGGGAACATACTACTCGCATGCCTCCCCCGTCAGTAGTATCACCGTTACACCTGTAGTCGACCCCTTACTCTTAATGTCGGGATTCGCATGCACATATGGTACAATCCGAACGGTCTGAGTACTCGCCGATGCCAGAATGGCTTCCAGCTTAATGTAGGAAACCTAGAACAATGTGCATGGAACCACAACTCCTATATTTCAAGAGAGAAAAGCCCTTGGCTCATACACATAAGAGGTTGTGTACAGGTATTAAGCAAAATAATCCACGGCAACCCGAAACGTCGGTTTATGATATCTCATTCCTTCACGTTGTGTTTTGGCGTGAAACTTTCCACGCTCAGTCTGTTCAAGGCGGTCCGAGTCGAGTTTGTCCTGAAACTTCTAAACAAATGAACGTGAGCTTGTAACAAGTCACCGCATATATAGACATAATATACTACTTATTAGGTCGCTGAAAAATCTTCGACAGCCCACGACCGGTTTTGTCCTTCTTAATCTCCTCGGGTAGGCGCATTCCGCTAGTTTTCTTCAACCTCATGTTCCGATTGAACACAAATTGCACGAAGTTGGCGAAATACACTCACTTGCAAACAAATTCGGTTTTCTTGGGAACTTACCTAGAACCCAGCAGAATATTTCGTTCATGATGTTTCCAAGCAGCACATTCAGTTGCTTGTAAACGTCACAAACGAGAGATCTAACTGGGTTCCGTGTGAATCTCCTGCAAAACCAAAGGTAACCACATACTTTGTATCATATAGACGGAATATTTTTTGCCGCTGTGACTTGAAAAGTCTAGGTTGTTTTGAGGTATACTTGTGATCGTAACTAAAGAGCTCATTGAGAGGTAGGTGCGATCTGACGCTGTGTCGAATACATAGGTGACCGACAACTGTATATATGGTTGGAGACGTGTCATCTTCACCAATAAAAAGAATCATCATACTCCTCATCGACAGCATGACATCAGTGTTTAGCGCTGATGCTTTACTATATGATTTTGTTGAATCTCAATGATCTGCTTGATTCCTGCCTCCAGTGGCACCAGCAGTGAGACTTGTATTAGTAGACCAGTGTTGATGAGGGCTGCCTCTTTATCCCTTGTTCCTGCATCTAAACTCACCAGAACCATCCATTTGTTTTAAGCGTTCGCTATCCACTCAGCCTTTCAGCATGTGTTGGGCAGGCTTTCTGCCCAAAACTGTTGTATTTTACCTCTATAACGAAGCCAGTTTGTTACTGGGTAACAATCGTCAGTAGCTTTGGGTCATTTCGTATACGCAGAAGAAATTGTTGGGTGGAAAACGGCCCACAGTAAAGATAGAAACCAACTAGAGTGACCTTGATAATTTCGCTGTCCACGGTGATAACACACACATAATGATGTCATCAAGAGTAGGACAGAACGCTTCATATCAGATCGCTAAGCTCGACTAACAGATCAACAACCCATTAACCCATTAACACATGCTATTTCGATGTATAACCTCATGTTCGACTTGCTTAGATTTTGGTGTCCAAGAAGAATATAAGGTTGACAGAAACCTGGGGACTGCGCATGCCTGATGAACGCCAAGAAGCCAGCCGTCAGGCTTCGAAAAATTTTCAGTAAAGTGTTCCGTCGGGAAAATTCGCCGCGACATGCTAAAATATTATATCTAATGAAACGTGGGACAGCATCCGTGCAGTATATTCAGTCGAAGAATAACCTAAACGAGAGACTCATCTGAAATTCAGTTGAACACCAACTTAATTTGCAACTGACTGTATTTTGCCAATCAGGATTGTTACTGTTTCCTGAAGGGTAACACAAAAGGACCGATGAGAGTGAGAGTAAAATATCCAGGCTGTTTCCTCCTAGTCAGTACGTCCATAACTTTCACCTTTTTGTAATAGGAAAAAGAACTTTTCTTATGAACCACGTTGTCTTTATAGGCCCGACATTAGTTGATGCCGCAAAGGCTTGCAACGAAGAGCATCGGTTTCATCGTGATTCATCTATGATCGTAGATGCACTGCTTAACATCTTTTCTGTCCCGTTTGTCTGAGTGTTGCAGGAGTATTGTGGAGAAAACAGATGAAAGTAGCCGACCAGTCGTTCATTTGCACCGCATGATTCTGTGATCAGTCATATCATTTGAATGCATGCAGTCAGTGTTGGTCTGACGAGGCTAACAAACATATTGGATCCGTACCGTTGAGAGGACGACCAAATGAATTCACTGGTCACCTTCTTCACGGGGAGTTTCTCAAATTGTACAAACGTCCACGAGCTAAAAATGCTCAAACATGGTGCCTCCGTAAAGCAATTGAACAATTTTGATGTCCATCTAGGTGGTAGGAAGAGTGGTGAGAGTTACCAGTGCCTTCAAATCCTCGATCAGGGTTATTTTTGAACTACTTGACACCGTTAAAAATAATTTATTGGACAGATTCAGTATAGCTAATACGGTGGCGATATATCTTCTTTGCACCCAGTCACTTCTAGTTTTATTCAGTCGGTTTATTTTCATTTTCGTGTGTGTGTGTGTGTGTGTGTGTGTAAACCAGGCACCTTAAGCTGGTGGCGATTAGTCCAACGGGATTGTTGTCGGTAGTCTATACCCAGGGTTCTGTGCCTTCTTAGAGTCTAGGAAGCCTTCACCAACTCTGTGAGTTGCAGTCATTTACGATTTCTCATTATGGTTTTGCAAAAATGCCTGGAAATTTCTTTCATGCCTTTGCAAGCGGGCCTAGGTGTTCTCCACATTGCCTTCCGTGCGCCGTTTTCGTCAACGTACTGACAATTTCTCCTCAAAACGTTTGTGAACCAGCTGTCAGGCTGGACGTCACGTCACAGGTCAAAGGACTGAAGACACTCAAGACCCTTCATCCCTGAGGACTGGTACCTGAATCGTTTGACGCCTGGTCTAACCAGATATCGCACCATAAGTCCGATCCACCAGTTGCACAGACTAACAGCCGGTCCATAAATAAAACATTGAACCCAGCCAGTGCGCGCACTCGGGTCACCTATGTCCAATCTGTAGACACGAAACCGCTCTTATGGTTGAGCTTTTCGAATTTCGACCACAACTTTTCAGTATGTCAACGATACCTACAAAATAACTTTCTGTAGTTAGAGCTTTAAACTTATGATAAAATGGTACTCCAGGGTTAATCTCTCTACCGTGATTAAAATATTTATCCCAAAGAGTTTTGCGATTCACTATCATTCAGGAGAATGCTGTTTGAAAATTCCTAATGATGGTTCCACTAACATAATTGAGACAGTCGATTTATAGAAGTTCAACTAGAATGGTCTGTCTGATATGAGTGCAGTTATCTGGAGTCTTGAGAACGTTCATTACGTCACGTGCCCAACCCTACACAGCAACATAATCACTAACGCACCAGTTCAGAAGCCACGTGCTTACAGAGGGCACACTGATTATAGGTTTCGTGTGGCAGAAAAGCAAAACTACACAGTCTTTCCTAACCATTTGTTTAATGTGGCAGTGTACTTTATAGTCCTATTCTCATGACCATTCTGGGGTGGTAAATTGGGCCCCGTCTTCCGAGGAGGGTATTCAGTAACGCTAGTTTGGCGTGGTATTTTGACAAGATTTACTCGAATCCTCAGATGAGATTTTCGCCTTTCGACCTCTGTAGCGTACCGTAAAAATTACTACCGTCTGAACTATACAGTGAAATTTATGCGTCAACGCTTGTTGAAGCTGCATGCTAAGATTTGCGGATCGAACCATTGAATTCACTTGTCTCGATTACTTGCTTTTGTTTTGATAAAAATTATCTTTTCCAACCATTAATATGCGCCCGTCAATTCTATGCAGTTTATGTTTTTATTCCATATACCAAGTAATCTCTGATCAAGTTATTGACTTGCAATTTCAGCTCCTCAAACCATGACAGGTTGTTCACTCACTACCGTCTAAGCCCTGGTAGAGTGCTTCGTTCACGCCTGATGCTTCCCTTAGGACACGTGGCAGCTAAGTACAGGAAGAGTGTTTCTTTTGAGGGATTTGGTTTTCAATCCCGGTATATGAATGAACGTGGGGAATGAATTTTTTGCTCCAAGCTGACAGCTGAAACACTGAATTTCAAATAAGCTGAAGCAAAATACTTCAGAGTCACTGATGACACTCCGTGATACCCGCAATTCTGGTAACGATTATGAGTGTTCTAAACCTTTGATAAATTTAGTTAAGTCTCCTCATGACGTCATCGTTAACATATCGCGTAGAATTATTCACGGACAGTCTGAGAAATTTGACTGTTTGTCTAGGAAAATGCCGGCTCATTGTTCAGGCAAACAATTGTGACAAGTGTATTACAATTTAACTCTGATGCCAACAAACAGTAGCTCGCGAGATTTGGTCCAACCAAACAAAATATACTGACGCGTGCTCCTGGGGTCTGCTGCTTATTGGAAAAGGCTTTTGTGGACCATCAACGACGTGCAGTTTGATTGGCTCAAAAGCGATGAGGCAATGCTGCTTGTTGGGCTCGGGATTGTACGCTGAACAAACAGAGAAACTACGCATTTAATATGCTTCTTTCCAGGGGACAGTAAAATGCATTTTCTACGGGGGTGCCTCAGTCCGGAGAGAATATGCCGTATCGGATTTATTTTGCCTCAGAATAATTAATTTTCTGTTATATCCGAGGCTTTTGGACAGTTGTAATCAGCTGTCATGCTGTCGATGATGATGAATCAGCATGGTATATATGGGAATAATAACGATAACTGACCGGTGGTGTTTGCCAGGTATTTACTTTGTAAATCCTCCACCACCACACGTCATCGGAGGTTCACTGATGCTGTAGGTCAGAGTTGAATAAAATCAAACGCAAAGTGTCGGAAATCAGAGTACCCTTAGATCGGATTCAAATGGAAGTGAAGTGATCAAGACCAGATTGCGAAATTATGGCGACCAGACTCATATTAATGGTGGCACAAAATAGGATTGATAGGGTTTTTATGAATGCCACTCAGTTCCCGAACTAACCAAACATGCTATCACCTTCAAGGCTTGGCTATATGTCCCACACTCTCGCACTTCCTGGTGATCGAAACTGTAGCAGCTGGAGCCAATGTGCATATGGTACACGGTTTATAGCTGATGTGTTGAACTGAGTTGAAAAACGGTCAAGATAACTGACGGTCAGTGTGGCTCAGCATTCGGAGACTGCTCCTTCTAACTAACATGTATGGTCCATCCTTTTCAGCAGCATATTTACGTTTTGGGGTTTCTTTGACAGTCACTAAAACTTTTTGAATTTGCCGCGAGATAATCAGCTTACTCCAACTTCTTGTTCTAGACCTTTGGAACTCACTTCGAATGTACTTTTGCTTCCCATTGCTGCCATGAAGAGTACAAAATCGTGCAAGCCTTTGGTTACCAAACGCGAGAAAAAACTGAATCCAGCGGAATGTATCGTGCCGCGAGAATTTCGGTCCGTATTCGGAGAGAACGCATTTGGATCGGAGCAGATCAATGTGTGTATAAATTCTCTTTTGTGTTTCATTGTAGTTTTTCCGGGCTTAGTTTCCATCGTTCTGGTATAGGGTGTGAGTGATTTCTCAGGCCACTCAAAGTCGTTTCAATAACTATCCCGAAGAGTATGCGTTATCTTTGGGGATTAACAGTAGCATTCCAAACATCACGCAACATTGTTGGATTGATCTCCACAAGTAACCATATAATCTTCACTGAAAGCCATGTGAAGTATAACTTATGTTACATCGGAATCTTTTGTTTTTAGTCCACTTCTGCACAGCCATGTATTTTAGCGGCAGCTAAGAAATCCGGAACACTGTTAGGTCCAGATACACATGTCTGACGGTTCTCACAAAGGACAGCCTCGTGTCTCTGTAAAATCGGAGAACCGACTGGAACTTTTTGTGCAGAGTGCTAACTAAGTAGTTGCCAGCTAACCCGTTAGTGTAGTCCGACTGAGTACCTGTTTGTAGTTATGTTTCTAACCCACTCATCATCTGTTCACACTGAATACATCTCATGCGTTTAACGACTCAATTTGTTACGCCTCCATATCTCGAATACTGCGATATAACTGTGTACTTCGGCTGGAAGTGCTAATTGTCGTTCCTAACTTATCTGTCCTGACCATAAATGCCTTCAGTCTCAATGAATAACTGAAGTGTTCTTGAGATACTAACACTTCAGGGCTACCTCAAGTTTATTGTGCGAATCGTGGTACTAAAAGTGCTTACTCCGAAAATGTAATTGTGCTGGAAATCGATGCAAAACACTAAACGGTTCGAAGATAATCCAACACCGAATGATTGGTAAAACGTAGTGAATTTCTTCTGGAATTTCACTCAATCGCGGCAACTACAAAACATGATAATCCACCTAAAGTAACGTGGTTGTGAAACTTATTAAAGAACCAAAATGCGAATGGCCTGGATAGTTAATATTCAGCATTGCCGTAGAGCACAGCATTGGTCAGGTCTGGTGGGAATATCGGATCAGTAATGCTGAGGAATGCCAAATGGTCTTAGGAAGAAGGAACTCTCCCACGATGGATGAATGACTCACACTTCATAGGTTGCGCTCGTTGGGTTATGTACTCTGCATGTCAGAAGACCGTCTGCCTCGCAGAGCTCCTTGTCCCAGCCCTGTACCGAGTGGAAGCGACTGACAAGTGGACAGTGTATGATCTGGCAACAAAGTACGAAAACACCAACCAGTAAACTTGGTCGGGTGGGCAACTGCCGCCTCCCTGGATGGGGACCCCGGGATTCAAATCACCAGTGGTTGATGACATTGGTGGAAATGGCCCGATCGCGCAGTCGGTCAGACTCGTGCATCAAGGCTATCGTCTTCAGTGTGTAGCTACCCAATTTCCGAACAAACTGAACATGTCTTCGCCTCCAGGGCTTGGTCATATTTTTCACTTTCCCGTTTTCCGGCGATAAAAACTGTAGCAGCCGGAACCATTATTCCTATGACACACGGTTCATAGCTGATAAATTGAATTGGATTGTAGAGCGCAATTCAAATGGAACTTTTGGCAAAAATTGAACGGGAGCCCACCTATGTTGTTCATCATTGATATACACATGAAATTGGCTTACTCTACAGCCATTCGAATGTACATCCGGGGATCGAATTCATTTTGCCACTTCACGGAAGCTCCGTCGTGACCTTGTCATAGCCTGAAGTGCAGCGAAATGCGTCAAACGTTTACCTCTACTGATCGTCTATGTGCGCATTCCCGTCATGGCAAGTTTCTAAACCTGGCCGTTTGAGGTCATGTCACAGCAAGATCCCCAGCAAATACGGTGTAAAATGAAGTGTGTAAAACTGCTCTGCCACAAGTAAAACTCATATTTACTATTTCTTTGATCACCAATGCAACCTCCCCACTGCCGACTTGAGTCGGTTGGGTTTGATTGTCTCAGAGTAACTAGCATAATGCCGAACGTTGCTTTTTTTTGAATTCATATGATGTCCAACTGTCTGACGAATAAGCATTCACTGAAACAGCTGCAGCCAGACTTTTTATTCACGCTGGATACTTGGCTGGTATGTTCACTCCTTATCGGTTTATTTCACCACACGGGATGAGGTAGTACGACTTTCATACTTCGTAACTCAAATGAACGGCATCCCACTCTACACCATATACGTTTAGGATCTTATCGAGATGTGACTCAAATGGTAGTTAACAGCTGCGACATACCGCAAGACAACACACATGAATCTTGTTTAAGATGACCGACCCAAGCATGTGGTAGGCGAACTTCGGTATGATCCATTCGGCAATTTAAAGGTGCAAGCTCTCTGGCGTAATCAGTTGACAGAAGATCTTCGGTCAAAAGTAAATGACCTTAAAACCCTGCAGCCCAGTATCGTGCACATACGTATAGGGAATGGCCTGTGGGCAGTTTTAGACAGCTGAAACATACCTTGCACCATATACAACAACAGGCCTTGCAATCAAAGCGATAAAATGGAAAGATATCTGGTGAATTCGGTTTTTTCATCGCAAACTCACGTGTAATCACGGCTACCAATATAAAAATATACCACCCAAAAGAGGTGGTGTTGTCATTGGTGCCAGGTATTCATTACCCAGATAATTATCGCCCAAGAGGAGCAATTATGAGCAATGACGCAGAGATTATTTTTACCATTTTTTCTGAAGGGCTCATTGCTTTCCTGGTTGCCGTGTTCTTTGCATAGGGTGGAGTGTTATGGAGAGTGAAAATGGAGGAAAGCATTCGTGAGAAGTGGATTTTCGCGGACGAAATTCCATTGTTAGATTCAGAGAACACCCTATAGTATCGTTATGCCGTTACAGTTTTCTATCGTTTTGTTCCCGCTCGAGTAAGGGTCGCTCTTCAACACACCCCCAGAAAAAACAATGAAACTGGCTTGTTCAGGTTGTCCGAACTTCAGTAGATTGATAGAGATGTCAACATTCTGCAAGAGGGACCAGAAAATTTCGATAAATCTACCACATCCGCAGCAAAGTTCGCGTTTTTCAATGAATCTGGAAGCTCGAGCCTAGAGCACTCAAGGCGCTTAAAAGCCAAGTCCAGATCTACTGATTGTACCCGTAAGCACTCGTGATACCGCCTAATGGACTTGACATCTGCAGTTTCCGCCTGAACGGGTGGTTCCAGGGCCCGTGCGTTATACGGCATGGATGAGCCCGACGGGCACCGGCGTAGGTTGTCGAATCGACGCTACGATCACTCGGTGACGTGATTTCAACCACTCTGTGAGAGCTCATTTGTGCAGCTGGCAATTCTACTGATTGGTCCACGTTCTTAGATCAGCAAGACCGGATTCACGGTATTCGTGCCTTTGAAGGGTAAAGCAGTAGTTTCTTAGTTCGGTCGCATGGTCTCCCAGACATACCACGGAAACTTGGGCGATTATCGATTCGAGAGCCAGACTGACCACTAGAAATCATTAAAACAATCGGTTTTAAGTGCTTCCCAATTCACGCGTAAAAGCAGGCTAGATAATTTTGGTCCCGAATTCCTCACAATTTTAATATTTCCATAAAAGTTTATTGCGAGTGAATCCTGCCCCTCCCCTAAATTTTCAGGTTTGTAAGTGCGTGGGAAATCACCATGACATCGACAGTTTAGGCTAGTCTCATCCACTTTCGAACACCGACCATGTAGGCTATCAACAGTGCGATAAAAATAAGCCTTTCTATTATTCAGCTGCTTCTACCTACGAGTGTGTAGCAACTAACCGATATGTCAATGCCGGTTTTTCAAGGAATTCATCTTACAAGTGTACCGTGAATGATGGTACTCAGGTGGCAAATGTGGGGACAACCAAATGTACAGCCCAGTGGAAAGTGAAGCATTGAATATCAAATGCAATAAAACTGATTTTGGGACCACAGGAAAAGCTCCACTCAATTGGATTTGCGAAAAAGCTGGGCATTTAGAATTCCAACTAGTTTTTCGTGTTTATCACTCAGTGTTCGATTCACATTTCACAGGGGGTCAGATAAAGGAATACTTGTTAAATGCGTATTTTACTAATGTTCCACTTGTTTGTCCCATGAAACTAGTTATTTCCGTTCTGCCCATCATAAATAGCTATTCTAATTATTTCACCAACAGTCATGGTACGTCTAACATCTACCAGCCTTTGAATGGGTTGCTTTTGCTCCCAAACGTCAATCTTCTTTTGCTGCTATCATAGTACCACAAATATTCCTATCGTACATAGTCGGTCAACGCATGTTGGATTCAAATGAAACTTACATTAGAAAGCTAGGCACAACACTCGCAGATTCTGTACGTAAACTCGGGTGGGTAGCTAAAATGTTTGTGTCCTCTTTTCGGCTTCAGACGCAATTCCTCAAACTGGCTGAAATGCTTATGAAAATATGGGGATCGTCTCTAATCAAACACTTTTGCAAATCCATCAATAAATTGGTCATAAGACAGCCGCTCATGCTAACCAAACAGAACGGTGGAGGAATGGACACTCAACATTCGTTTAATGTGTTCTTGATCACTTGTTACTACTTTAGGATACTGCGCGATTTTTTAGGGTATTTCATTCTTTGTATCATACTTAATTATCGCAGCGCCGGAAATCAACCGAATACCCACTAAATGGAGGTGCTCTCATGATTGATTCACGTACGGATGTCAAAAAACAATCGCTAGTCGGCTCTGGGCCAATGGGTGTAGATTCTGCTGCCCTGAGGGAGTCGCGGCTACCGAGTCGTTCACTGACAGGTTCGGACTGCTCCGCTAGTGATGGCAGTTCTCTGTCCACATCTCAGGTTAGCACTTATTCTCCATCCTCCTGTTCTTCGTCACTTGAATGCAGTCCATCCGGGTCAAGTAACTGCGCTTCACACAGATCCAAACATGCATCTGATGACACTACTCGGAAGTCCAATTCGTCCGCGTTAACAGACGATCCACTGGTCAGAAGTTCCGTGGCAGTCCGCATTTCGGAGACCTGTATACCGTGAGTTTTGAGCTGCTGCCAGCCGACTCATTCTCCAGTTTTGTTTCCTGTAAAAACAACAAATTTGGTCTCTCAACCAGCTAGAGAATGCTTTGGACCGGTCAGAAACGCATCGTTTCAGAAAAGTTTGAAGAATAATGGGCAGATTAATCACAGGACAACATTTGATTGTAAGAAAAAGGTTTCTCAGGCCACGTGACTCGTTTACAAGTGTGGCGGAGTTTTAAGACAGAAGTTGAACGAAACAGCAAGATCTCTTCCCATTTATGTACCAAATCAGTATTAGGTGTCAGCTAACAGATTTTGCTTTGTTAGTGTGACCAACCGTCCCCTCTCCATTCACATCAACAAAACCGTAAACGACAATCAAGAGAAATCTTCGCCTAAACCAAACCGGAAGAGTCAGAACCTAGACCAGACCTCAATTCATTTTAGTCCCCCCATAGCCCTTTGCTCTCAACACTGGTTAACTTATTAACCGAACCAATTCCTGTCGAAGAGTTTTCAGCAACCTCGTAAGTAGTTTCCTTCATAAAAAATATACTACGATATCTCGAATATCGTCCTGACTGAAACATGAGGCAGTCTATGTACAGCATATTCAGTTGTAGAATATCATAAACGAGAGATTCAGTTGAATCTCTCGCGTAAACCGAATTGATTTGCAAATGATTATATTTCTCTAAAACAGTCCATTTTGGGTTTAAGTAGAACATAAGGTTGACAGAAACTCGAGGACTGCGCCTACCTGATAAACCCCAAGAAGGGCGAAACCGGTCGTGGGCTGTCGAAGAGTTTTCTGCAACTTTGTGAGTGCTTCCCTTTATGAAAATCTTGTAATTAGTTCCCTTTATAAAAAATATACTACGATATCTCGAATATCGTACCAAATGAAATATGAGGCAGCCTTTGTGCAGCACATTCAGTCGAAGAATATCATAAACGGGAGAAAATCCAGTTGTCAAAACCACTCCCACACTCCCATTCTGGTCTGGCCTGCCAATAAAAGGAGGTCTTGTTGGTCCATTCTCCTTCTCTTTTGAGGATCCAGCATCCTTGTAACCTGTTCACGTGGCCTGACGAAGCATTCGTCCAAAAAACGAAACGTAACGCAGCGATAAGTCTAATCATTATTTTTCAAAAATGTTTCCGAAATCATGCTCATTTCTGTTCGAATGATCACAAGTACCCATTTTATAGTCGACTAGTTGTACTTTCGCTTTCGTAGACTTGAGTCATTTGTTTTCAAAATCAGGTTTTCGGCGCACAGACCGTTCGATGGTACAATCGATCGGCTGTATACCGAGCATATCATGTGTAACCTGGCGCATAGTATTTACTGCACTGCGCGTAAGCTAAGAAACAACACGTGAATATGACATTTCGCACCAGCTTTTTGACCAGTCTTGTGTCGCGTACGCCTACCGTACTTTTTGGGTGATTATTCTAGGTTATATGCAAAGAGCTTTACTTTGCAACGTTGCGTTATTTAGCGGCTGACCAGATGGTGGATCACTGATCCACAAGCTTGTTTTCACTGTAGAACTGTTCAGCCCTCGGTCTACACTTGGTGTTTTTCCTCAACCAACATCTGGTCCGCCAACTTATTTTTTGCAGAGTTGGGCTGACAGCCCAGTTTCATCCTTCTCGTATGAGAGCGAAACTCAAGCGATCAAAAGTCTCCTCTGATCACTCGAGACAGATTGGCGAGACAGACATGGCTTCTGATGCAAAATATAATTTATCTTCGCACTCTGGAGTGAGTCCAGGGTTTTCACGACCAAATTCACCAGGTAGGTTCGAAGTTTTCATCCACCGTACATACCCTTCTCTCTTTCCGCTTTCTTGACTGGGAGAGTTGTGTCATCCTGCCGGCTGTGTTCTAGATTATAGCTTTGCACTCCACAAACTTCTCAGAAATGTACTTTTTGGTCAGTGGTGGCATAATACTCTCCCTGTTTCAACTCCTAAAAGTCAGTTAGAGTCAGTCATGTTAGTCTAGAGTAAACAGTTTTACTCATGTCATCAGGACTTTCGGCCATACGGTCGAATTTGAGAACAGTAAGGTCTGTTAGACAGGGGATTACCGTTTTAGCATTCACTTGCAGGATTTGCATGAAGCTACCTTATCCACTTCAACTAACAACACAGGAATGCGAATTCGTTCAAGGAGCATGATGAATTTGTTTTCGGTTGTAGCGAAAAGAACAGCTAACTGGAGAGTTGCAATCCCAGCAAGAAAGTACGCACCCCTTTACAGTCCCCGGTGGCCTGGATGACTCAAAAAGTTACATCGTGGACGTGGTTCTTACTGACAACTGTCGTGCTTTTGTGCGACTAGAAAACCTACACACCGTCTGCCGCATCTAATGATTTATCGGTAGGTGTCTCACGAACCACAACACTCCATACTCATCAAGATCACTTGATGGACATGCTAAAAAGCTTCTGGTGACAGCCAACTTGTCTCTGTTGCTCTCGTGCTGCACAGGAATGTGCGCTGATGCACCATCGATCTTCCAGTCGGTTTCTGACAATTCAAACAGGTTGTCACTCAGGGCAGTATCACACCTATCATTTTGTTTTCCGAATGTCCCCACCACACACACACACACACACACATTGGTGGCTTGGTTTTGAAGGATGGCATATAAAATTCACGCAACAAAGGCGCATTGCACAAATGAACTTTGGGCAATGCTGAAACGAATCGCATACATGACACCCCATAATCCGAATATTCTAGTTCACCTGAATGAATTTATGCTTCAAGGTGGCATTTGTTGTCCGGCTCTAGTTAAGAGATTAGCTACGTACCGTGTGTTTTGGGTAGGGTCGAAAACGGATATAGATTATTAATGGCCACTCCACCTTTTAGGTGACAGGTTCTGCAGAGAACGAACGTGGTCTGTGAACACCATCAGAATGAATGAAGGCCTGAGCTTGTCAGACCGTTCTATACGGACTGTGATTACGGGTATCCATGAGCATGAGTAATACCTACAGACTGTAGTCCGTTCTGTTGACTATCCATACGAATGCATTTGCATAGGAAAAGTTCGACAAGACATGCATACTTGAGTGTAGTCAGTAGGCAGCCAATGGATAACACTAATTGGTTTACAGTGGGCAAACTAGTGGTCACCACGCTGGGAAACAATTTTGTGTGCCCAAGATCGAGAACAACTTCTGCCGCTTGTAGTTAACCAGCTCGTGGAAGTGAATTGCTTTGGTTCCACCTGTTTCCAGGATTTCTCATCCTGGGTCAGTTGAATGATGTAGTGACAAATGATGGACGACTGACAACTAACTTTCAGTCTGAAAATACTTGCCCGATATCCATTCACTGCATCTTCTGTCTGCTTTCCTGCTGCACTTCAACGGGCCTTTTGGTAAGTTAGTTTTCAAGAACCTCTCATGGAGATGTTTCGGAATTTGGCCAGCAGACACCAGAGCGGATGTACACTCCTATTTGTAGCTATTTACTACACCTTGTTCCTGGAGCGTTATCCAGTTGTGTGCTGACTAGCAAGGTGAGCCACCAACTTTGTGACAGAAAGAGTTCATTGAGTCTGACTATTTGTTCCAACCTCAAATCAGTCGGCGTGAAACATATGAATCACTTGCTGGCTACAACCGTGTGAAACTGATCATCTGTCCTATCATTCTTTTCTTTTCTGCGCTCTTTGAAATATAGCTATACGAGTCTCTGGATGGTTATTCAGAAGAGTTAGTTTACTTGTTCGTAATGACCGATTAAACAAATAGACATCAGTCCAACAGTACTGTCACTTGTGAGGTGTGTTGCAAATTAAAATTATTCATTTTAATATAACTGGTTGCATGAAGGTGCGCTTTTCTTTCAAATGGTTCGTACCGGTGGTCCCATTAACCAATAGTTTGACTGCTATGTGAAGACGGCGTATAGAGTAACCTCAAGAGGGACGGCCACTTCACCTGATTCGGATTCCTTCTGCTGTTCGTAATTCAGTGGCCTCATTGTGGTCATTAAATTCATGTTTCGGTAAAACAATCATACGAAAGGATCCTTCGTTCAAGGACCTCATAAACAGCAAAGTGATTGAACTAAGATGGCAATGGACTGGTAATTGGTCGGATGACCGTTGATCTGTTCGTCAAGCTTGGCAGTTGGCTTGCAAACTCTTCACCACCAATTGAGGTGACATCACCAGTGCACAGTTGAGTGCGTTATTCCTCCCTACAATCTTGAGTCTATGTAGACGTCAAAGGCTAGCTGATATCTACAGCTGTGAATGGCTGATGAGAACACGTTTTTTTCTCGGAATTCCACTGACCCGTTTCCAGCTGTGCGTTTTCGTTTGTATTCCTTGTACTTGATTAATGTGTTGAACAGTTTCCGTCCGAGAAACTCTTGTTTCTGGCCCCCGATTTCCTTTGCGTCATGATCTGATTTCCCTTCGTGTGATCGTTTCCTTCTGCGGTTCCTATTTTTAGAAGTTCGCTTTCTTCGACTTAACGTTCCCGTTTTGAATTTCCATCGCCTTTTAGTCTGATTTTCTCAGGTTTGATTGAATGGTTGCACTTTTTGTCCGCTATGACTGTTTTTCCTATACTCAGGGAGTTCTTCGCCTTTTGTTGGTTATTCAGTTACCTTTCCGTGTTGAGGGATTTCTCGTTCGTCCTATTTCGTCCCCTGATTTTTTGGTTGAATGTGTACTTCATTAAACTTGGTCATTCCTTTGAAATTGGATCCGCCTTTGTCTTCTATACATGTCCTCTTCGGTTTCTGGTGCACTTTCGACCTTTATTCTTATGGCGTTTTTCTGTCCTTAGTAGTTGATGGGATCTGGGGGCAAGATTTAGAGCGCGAAATTGCTGATCGAAAAATCCGTGGTTTGAACGCGATTTATGCATATCGAATTCTACTATCGACTTCGTCCAGGTTCGGGCGACCTGGCAATATCCTAGCCCTCGTGCTATCTTCGGTGGCATGACAGCATATCGAATTCTACTATCGACTTCGTCCAGGTTCGGGCGACCTGGCAATATCCTAGCCCTCGTGCTATCTTCGGGTGGCATGACATCTAGGCACCGAACGATTTTTTTCACTTAGTAATCGATGGTTCGGGTTGATTCTGATTTGCCCATTAACAGCTACTCCGATCAGGTACCACGTTTCCACGAATTCATGTTCCTCGTTTGTTCATGCCGGGACTAGTATGTGAACGTTGCTTCAGTCGAATTCGAGTCCACCCCACTCTTCGTGGTCGAAGACAGGTGAAAACTGGCGTTTCTTTTGACAGCCTGGTCGGAGTTTTTATTCTTATCTGTCCAACGTAGTGTTTGTCACAAGCTTTACTTTGAATCCTGTACATGACGTTGGTCCTCGTCTTCGTGTTTAATTTTTCTTTGAGTTTTTACAGTGCTGTCCGTAGTGTGTTTGTCGGTTTGTAGTCTATCGTTGGTTTTGCAGTCATTTCCGAAACGTTTCTGATGTGCAGAAGTGTTATTTGCTTCTTCTCTCTTTGTGCTGCTTTTACTGAAGGTTCACCAAACAAAGCTTCCTTGATATCCATTTTCTCGAAAAACTCTTTACGGCGTTTCCCTTCTTCTGTCTTAGCGTGAGTTGATTTACAGTGCATTTCTATCCGCTCGAACAGTGTCCGAATGTGTACCGAACTGAATCGTAGGTGGAATAAAAAAGGTGAATTTCAGAGCACCAGACGAATACAACGCTAAAAATCACAGATACTGGATTCACCATAGAGCATAGCTAAAATAAAATCATTATGGTGGGAGACCTGACCTGCAAACCACCAGTTACATGAGACAACAGGCACCGGCAAGCTGCACGACCCAAAAAATGTATAGCACTTGCGGCTATAGGCGTCATTCAAGACTAGGTTCGAATACGTCATAGCATAAGGGAGATTTTTACCACTTGACTGATAACACATTCGTGAGGCCTCCTTTCCTTAACATCCGACTGCTGTTTATATCACCCACGTCCCCATTCTGGTTGGTGACTGGTGGATGAACAGAGACTTGTGATCAATAGACCGGTCGACATCTACGATTTGTACCGTCTGATTGAAAAAAAACAGATAAACCGGACGAACACTTAATGTGTCTTCAGAGTTATTATGATGGTAATCTACCGTTTTGACCATCGGCTTTCAACTAACAATGCAAGTTCGCAGGTTCGTGGCTAGCCATCTTTCTGATACGACTGCTGTTTCAGAAACAAAAATTTCTTTTAATTGTTGCAATTCCTGCACACCTGGTGACTTTATTTCGTCCGCACACTCTTGAAGCCGTACCTTCAAGTAACTGATTTAGGCTTTGCTGATCCAAACCTTAAGGTATGCAACAATTTCCTTTTTATCCAGTTTATCTAATGCTGCATGTCTTACTTGCAGTGCGAATTGTGTTCCAATCTGTCAAATTACGTTACTTTTAAACTCTCCCCCTTATATAACAAAGTGTATGTATGGATAAATAAAAGCACATGTATTTACTCAGCTTGTCGCGAGCGGCAGTTTTCTTTTAACTCTCTTTACATGTTCCTTATCTCCTTCAAGCGTTTTGGGCTGCGTAAATCTTGGCCCGAACAACTTAGTGAGGCTGAAGAAATAGATAACGGACTGGATACATGAATTTCTTAGTAGAGCGATAAAGGCCCAGATTTCTTGGAGCTCGACATTCCAGGCTCACATTGCTTGCGGTTTATTTACTGAAATCATCAGCCATTGGCTTTACCTAGCAAAATTTGCGTTTTTATTTAACTAGGAGTTACTTTCATGCTTCATTTCGCCAGTTCTACAATCGTTTCACTTACGAGAAAACCTTGTGATTAACTTTATACCCTTTCGACAGAAAAGGTTGGCGGACTCAAGCCGGAAATACAACAACCTATAGTGTTAGAAGAGTCAAACGAATTCTCCGATGGCCTGAATGTCACCAGTTCGGCCTCATCTATCCGTTGGAATGTCGCGAGTCCGGAAGAAAATTTCCATTCAGTCAGCCGTTTAGATTCTTCAATGAATCGTCCGGAAGCAGTACAAATTAGGGTGAGTATTCAAACTACTGGAAACTGTCTCTCCATGGTGTTCATTTGATTTTCCAACGATGTGCAGTGGGAATTTTAAAATACTGAGTATCTCAACGTAGAAGGCCCACGATCTCAGGTAATGCGGTGAGAAAACTGGGAAAGTGAATGGAGAATATTCAGGTCACCATTATCATTACTGTCTATGGTTTTGGAAACTTCTCAGAGAATCAGCTAGGAAGAGACCAACAACTCGTTCTTAATTAAAGGAATGGCTGGTTAGTACATATTTATAGACCGTAGCTTCGTTATTTTGATAGGTTATCTTGTAAGCTGACGCCTCTGATCGTTTGCTAACGAAGACTTTTCTGCTCCCTTGTAGTGTTCAAAGGAAAGCCTACCAGTTCTTGACAAGCAACAGCCTAGTCGAGACGTTTCAAGTAACCATGAATGCATCACACAGGCTCCACCGGGTATACTTTGCAGGCCTTCTGTCAACGGCTCGGAAACCACAGGTCGTGATTCTAATTCTAGAGCAACAAGTTGGAAAATAACCGGTAATTTCCCATGTTGTCTAGTTTATCCAACGATTTTTTGGTCAGGAGAACCGAAATGTACCCCAGTGCGTTGCCTTTTCTCCACCTTCTTGCGCATATCCGTTCACGCGGTTGGTTGGTGTACCTTTCAGGATCACTGCGTTGCATGGAACGAGGCCAATAGACCCCCGTGCACAACGGATAATACTGTTTGTGCTGAGCCGCACGTACAAACAACTGAATTCCATTTATCCGGTATAATTCCGTGCGAATGAGACCAGAGTTGAATGGGAGGTATTAGCCCTAAAGTCATAAGCATTCCCAATAACCATCCACACTTTTCAACGCAAGTGAGTACTAATCAACCGTTGAGAACCACAATGAACACAAAGGGTCCTTTGAAGGCCTGCACCACTCATGAGACCCAGACGGCTAGCTGGTGCTAGGCCGTTTGATCCGTTTAGCTTGTTCGTTACAGTAAACAAACAGTTTCCAAAGTTGCCTAGATGGTATGAGGCAGAAACTGATTTCCTAGGACTTGAAAGTCTGGTATCCGACTAACTTTGTCTTACTGCGGTCGTTGAAATATCAACGTCACCAGGCGTTTAAAAGAAGAACATGATTACCGCACTCCAGTCCGATTTCTATAGGCCAACTTCTGTCAAGAGTTCTCAGTTCAGCTTATGCTGCTTACTAAGTGATAACAACGATGTGCGACAAAATACATCGTTTTAAGTTGTCTTCAATGCCCAACTAGTGGTACGCTTCGGAACATATTTAGTGCTAATACGCGCTGGCACGTGCTCAGTCATCTGCAAGATGTGTGTGACACTGAGCAGATGAACGTCCCTCAGATGTAGTCACGGTGAAAAAAAACTTGTTTTGATTTTGATCATGCACTTGTCCGGTATGGTCTCTGCTTCTCTTCACTTTTCGGGATGGCTTAAGAAACGCAGAATTGGCTTAGCAAGTGAGAGGCTGGCGTCTACCTTCGTCCCCGAAGTTAGACGAACTTATCAGAAGTGTCTTATAGACTGTCTTCTAACGGTTCCATCGTCGGATGTCAATTCTTACTGGAACGGAACTTCCACATTCTTGCTAGGAGTTCCGCCAATGAAGAAAAAACAGCTCCAGCACTATTAGCAACCACTTTCAGGACCATCTGCTGCCGCTCTGTTGAGTCCTAGAACTGTAGTAGAACCCTGGACGATAAATCGGAAACCCTAGATAGCTTCGGAGGTTTATCCCTGCATACATTCTGTCAAGCGCCACCACGCCCTTGGGCCAGATGACTTCCAACCTTTATTGTTCGAGGTTGAGGGTAAAATACTCGGTCAGTGCTTTTCTGCACCATTTGCGTGTCCAGGTTAAATGAAGAGACTCTGCAATCGTGTTCATCTCCAAAAAGACCAGTGGTGAGTGCAGTTATGATAGCACCCTTGTCACCACTTGTCTTTCGCCGTCTTATGGTGGCGCGTGGAGCACTGAGTCGAAAGTAGCAATCGCGATCCATGCATATTAAGGGTGAACGGACCAAAATAATTTTGTCCTTTGGCATGAGCTTTACACCCATAAAGTGCAAGGTCATTCTCCTGGACATGCAGTCACTGAGCACGCCACTTACAAACCAAGAAGAGATACTCGTGGCTATGGAACTCTTTATATGCCTTGGAAGTTGTATTCGTTTTTAGTGTGGTTTGATAAATGAAGATAGCGCACAAATCTGTAAGTCGCTGGCGACGTTTACCAATTATGCTGTCGAACGGGTATATCTCGGAATCTTAAGCGGCGTGTGTATCAGGCTAGGGTAGGGGCTCTATTGTTGTGTGGATGTGAGACGTGGCCTACTAGAGCAGTGGAACTGGAACGTTAACAAATGTTGTCTTGGAACCATAGCTGGTGTAAGCTCGTGCAGGTGAATCTGCAACGATACAATTAGAAAACGGTTGTGCAGCAGAAACTTCAGTGTACGAATGTGTCCAGCACCAACAGCCACGTTGTTGTGATCATGTGTTGCATATGCGAGTCATCGTTTATCGAGAAGAGTGCGGTTTCTTTGCCCAACTCAGATCGGTGGTAGAGAGTTGGTGAAACTTTGACGTAGCTGGTGTAAATGCGATCGATTACGAAAGTATGGTACTTCCGTCGGAGCTTATATTGCGGGTTGAGTTCCACGTGATCCTCCCATGTGTATGGTTCGAGACTAGTCGATGCCAATAATGTTCTTGTTGTCAGTTTCTGTGCAGAGTCCTAGTGAGTGTCTGGTGGTGTGGGTACCTCGTAGTGATTGTGGTTGGCTAGCACTAAGTTCCTTCAATTCAATTTCAATTTATCAGCTATTGGTTCAAGCTGCTACAGTTTCGATCACCGGAAAACTGGAAAGTGGAACATACAACCAAGCCCTGGAGGCGAAGGCATGTTCAGTTTGCTTTCGGAAATTGGGGAGCTGCGCATTGAAGGCGATAGCTTTGATGCACGAGTTTGACCGACTGCGCGATCGGGCCATTTTCACCAATGTCATTAACCACTGGTGATTTGAGTCCCGGGGTCCCCATCCAGGGAGGCGGCATTTGTTCACCTGACCAAGTTTACTGGTTAGTGGTTTGGTACTTCGGTGTCAGGTCATACACGGTCCACCTGTCATTCGCTTTCACTCGGTACAGGGCTAGGAAAAAGAGCCCTGTGAGGCAGACGGTCTTCTGACATGCGGAGTACATGACCCACCCAGCGCAACCTAAGAAGCGTGAGTAATTCATCCATCGCGGGAGAGTTCTTACTAAGACCATTTGGTGTACCTCAGCATTACTAATCCAATGTTCCCACCAGACCTGGCCAATGCTGCGGAGACACCGATGATCAAACACTGACATCTTCCATATGTCCTCTGCGCGTAGGAGCCAGGTCCATAAAGCAGCATGGATCGCACCACCGCAGTGCAAACTCTTCCCTTGACAGACAAGTTCACGTCATATCGGCTTTCAAATAAATCATGGTTGTGCGGCATTGGAGCATCAGTGCTCATAGTGTTCTCACATCTCAGGCGTTCATGCAGTTTGTCAAGGATACAATTCATGCTTCAATCTGTCTAGTGCTGCTTAGAGGTGATTTATCAATGAAGTTAAAAATAATCCAACCTCAAAACACCTATGAGATGTGGATGAATATTTCCAGATCGGTTGCAGAGTTTACGAGCAGTAGTGTTTTTCTTATCGGAGTTTCTGTTGTCATTCAGCTAATCATCCAACCGCTACCATTTCATCAGCAACCCCGAACTCAAATCTGGATTTCGGAAGTTCTGGTCCAAGTCCGTCCAGCGATCATTCACAAACAGTTCAACCTCCTCATCATGAGGAAATAATGCGGATCACTGAAACCATTGGCCGAATTTTGGAAGAACTGGTTACCACAGAACGCAGCTATTGCCGTTCACTTTACGTGTTCTCTGAGGTCGTTGCGAAAGGTGTGTGCACAAAAAGCAGTGTTAGTTTGAAAGAGCTCCGGTAAGTGGGAACTGCTGCTTATTCTGTTCCAATTCCTTACACATTTCGCTGTTACTAATAGGAGAACCAGCTCCAAACTTAACTGGACCACACAACTACCAATGGAATAACCGTTTTCGTTGAGACAGATTTAATTTGGTTGTTCTTCGCTTGCCCTTGAAAGATGAAGTCTAGTTTCGATCACATTTTGACCCACCTAGAACTTTCCACGTGAGCTTTATGAACAGTCTGTTTTCGGCTGCACATAAAACACCTGTACGCGTCAGTGTTCAATAGATCAGGTGATTCGCACGTTCATTGGCTTCTCTGGTTTGGCTAAACACATCAGGCTATCAAGCGGCTATCCAGGCTGGGTATTAAGAAGAAAATGGCGTTCCATAATGGCTACGAAATAATCAATAAGACCAGTTACTCCATTAGGAATGAATCTCTCACGAGTCTATTAACATTCAGACGTAAAACCTCAATACAGTATATCTCTGTATAGCAGCGTTCTCAAACACCTTTGATTCTTCCCTTTGTCCCATCTCTCATTTCAGCCAAAAAAACATGAATTTTAGGAGGGACAAATTCTCATTTTATTCCATTGTTCTGTCATCCTTTATCACGATTCGCTTTGGCTGCCCATACCTCGGTGCCTCGGATGAGGCAGAGTCCCACCAAATCACAGTTACCATGAGTTTGTGTCATTCAGACGAATACCAAATCCATTACCGTTCCAACTTGTTTCAGCGCCCACTGCCTTACGTACCAAGCAACTTAGGACTAATTGATACTCATTTACGATCTCAGTTAAAGAACATATCGGTCCACGAAAGTCCGCAAAATAGCCAGTAGATTTGCCCTTGGGTAACGCCGCTTGACCCGGCAAAGCCTACGCGCTCTTGCTTAGTAATGGATTTTTTCGATTATTTTACGAATGTTTTTGAAACGGTGAATTCTCGATTTGTATCCAACCTATCCCAGGAGCCACCTATATTCTCTTCTGTTCTGACCTATTCCACTGCGACTGGATATAACTAACGCTGCCATCTGTCGTCAGTCCCACGACTCACACACGCCCAACAACTTAGTAGATTGACCTACTAAATGCCTGAATGTCAGTCGGACAACTTTCGTTAGTTTGAGCAGGCTTCTCTAACGGAAGCTACGAGTAAAAAGTCTGCGTGGATTATTCGAGACAGGGTCGTGGTTTTAACACCTTCGGTCGAGACTGATGTAAAATTTGTTTGTTAATTTTGCAACATAAGCGACATGAAACTCTGACCCGCCATTCAAAAAATCACTCGTGTTCATCCTGTAGAATACTTTGGCATGTTAGGTTTTGTCTATCATCCGCTTTCGTGTTTTTTTCAACTTTCAGCTCTTCTCTTTAACGTACACAGGATATCGGGTAGTCGTTACTATTGCTTCAATTCATCTCAGCTGCCCAGTACCCGCATAACACGGTCCGGCAGCCAGATCTAAATGAACATTCAACCGCCTTGTTAATATGTTAAATCAACCCATCAAACCCCAGATCAATGAATTTTTTTATGTAATCCCGCTTGAAGTGTTCAGCCACAAAGCAATCATGTCGCTTTAATAAACTCCCTAGACTACTAACATCCCTTACGACTGAGATTCCGTTTAGCCTCCAGCTTTATCTGTAGATAAGTACTTATTAAACCGTTTTTTAAAACAAAAATTAATATAAGACGCACACAAGCAATAAGATTATTACAGGTAGTAGGAACTTTGTAAGTCTGTGCTGCGAATAAACTGAACTCTTAGTTAGGAGCTGAAACATCCATTTTAAGCCATTATTCTTATACGTTGAGGTGCTGCAACATAGAAGACTCTTAGTTTTCATGATACGAAATCGACCTGGCATACGATTTCGTGAAGTGTCGTACAAATAACTTGATCTTTGATAGTTTGATTCGTTACACGTCATCTCAGCAACCATGTATTTTGATGAATATGGGTGGATAGGGTAAGAAGCCAAAAAAGGGTTGACACTGAAACAATTATCATCATCGTCATCATCATCATCGACAGCATGACATCAGTTTTCAACACCGATGCTTCACTGCCGTACTTGTACAAGGGCTGGGATACTGTCAGGGCGCCCACACCTAGACAGGAGGGCGATTAGGGTCCTCAAAAGCTCAAAAGCCTAACCGCAAGGCAGCGGTATTTGGCGGGAAATGCAAATGCGTTACCATTTCTGCGCAACAAGTCGCCACATGTCCCAACCTGGAAGGCCAGGAGACTGTGTTTGTCAGACCTCTGACAATTGACCAAGCTGCTATGACAGAATCCGTGAGTGTCATGGGGACACTCTCCAGTATAGCTCAATGGATCGCTGAGGTGCGCAAACCGTCACACCACGGTAAGGTCCAGTCTCCTCGTGACGGCATTGAAACAATAACCGTGTAAAATAAAAAAGTACTGATTATTGGATTCTACACAAACTTCACCGCAGTAAACCAACCCTAGACTAATTAAGGATGTTAATGAACTCTATGTCCTCGACAAATACACTCATTTGCAAATCAATTTAGTTTTCATGGGATACTCAACTGCATCTCTCGTTTATGATATTCTGCAAGTGAGCACGTGCTACACAAAAGCTGCCTCGTGTTTCAGTTAGTACCGTATTCGAGATATCGCAGTATATTTTCATAAAGGAAACTACCCACAAGTTTGCTGAAACTCTTCGACAGCCCACAACCGGTTTCGTCCTTCTTCGGACGCATCAGGTAGGCACAGTTCCCGAGTTTTCGTCAACCTGTTGTTCTACTAGAACCGAAATTGTGCAGATCTCAACAAATATCAACTGGCTTTGCACGAGAGATTCTATTGAACCGGTCATGGGCTGTCAGCAACCTTGTGAGTAGTTTCCTTTATGAAAAACTTCATGGATATCTCGAATACGGTACTAACTGAAACACGAGGCAGCTTTTGTGTAGCACGTGCTCACTTGCAGAATATCATAAACGAGAGATGCAGTTGAGTATCCCATGAAAACTAAATTGATTTGCAAATGAGTGTATTTGTCGAGGACATAGAGTTCATTAACATCCTTAATTAGTCTAGGGTTGGTTTACTGCGGTGAAGTTTGTGTAGAATCCAATAATCAGTACTTTTTTATTTTACACGGTTATTGTTTCAATGCCGTCACGAGGAGACTGGACCTTACCGTGGTGTGACGGTTTGCGCACCTCAGCGATCCATTGAGCTATACTGGAGAGTGTCCCCATGACACTCATTGTGAGTAGTTTCCTTTATGAAAAAACTTCATGTTCTCTTCGAAACAGTGGATACACAAGATCAACGCGTTATCTGACCTTCCTATTCCGCAGATTGTTATTCCCCCGATGTCTGCCAGACCTGTATGTAATGCACATCAAAATGCTCGATCAGATGGAGGAGGGACTGACGGAGTTTTTCCAACACGGAATCACGACGTATTCTGTCCAGGCAAAAGACGTTGCACTCCCATTCGTTGTGTTGCTAAATGGACTTCAGGAGTCCACCGAACACTTTCTATCAGGCGATCTTGGCTACGATCAAAGGGCGCAACAACGTCACCAAAAAGTTCACAACATCCAATCTGAACCGGACTCAACAGAACCCTTATTTCCCAGTTTGTATAGACGTTACTTGTCCGAATTCACAACGGCGATGAAAATCCAGCGTAAATTACTTCGTCAGTCCTCGAAATTTCGGCAGACTGTCAAGGTGAGTTATAGGGTTCAATTATGGTGTAGGTAACTTGTTTGCATGTAGATTGAACGCGCTCTGATTAAGGTTTTTCATGTTAATGTCCTCTGAAACATCAAATTTGCGATATGGTAACCGGACAGAAGGTAACGTTTCCTGGGCTAATTTGAAGTTGAGTTGGCAGATTTATGTTACTTCAAGGAATCCGAGCTCAAACTCTTTCTGAGGCACGGATCCACCTAAACGACAGAGTACAATAGGTTTTTCTCATAAGCATAGACATCAAAGAAGGGGAAAGCAGGCAACACTAATTTGCTTGCATATTAATACGACGCTAACAGGAGACAGCTGAATATCTAGTTTGCAGTGTTTTTGGCCGAATGTGCTGATTTAAAAGGCTCCACATGTTTCTCCTGGGACGATATTTAAGATTTCGAAGTGCCTTTATTCGACTGACACCACATGTACGTTCCATGCGACTTCATCGTCTGAAGCACTGGAGCGTCTTATTCCATCACATGAATACGGAAAGACGGCATGTATCACCGGGTGTTTAGCCACAAGACTCAAAACATGGAAATCAAACGTGAAAAAAAGAGTTTTCAACAAAGTTTAAGGGAAATACGGATAGCGATAATGTGAATTTTTCCTACCGGAGAACAAAACTATCGGCATCAACTCAACCCATTCATCATTTATGCGTCCAATTTTACGAAGGTTTCGGGCTCCACGTTCGTCGTTTTTCCGCGATCCAACCGTTCTCCAACTGTTCTAGCGTGAATGGGTACGGTTGTGAGACTTTACATCCACCACACTAACTACTTATCTAAGCCTTCAATCTTTGGATGCACTTAATGAACAGAACGTGTGAATCGGGCTGCGCACTCACCCATTTCTGTGTCCATATCAAGTCTCTGTCTACTTTAGTAGTTAAAATAAAGTGACACAGGTTCCAGAATTTCATGGCCACATAAATAACAAAAATCACGGGGAAACCTATCAAGGAAATTATTGACGTAAAACTGGAATTGTTTTGGACGCAATTGTTGACAATGCAGAATTACACGTGTTATATCTGCTGATTCGTCAATCTGTGGTATCTGCTGTTGAACCGCCCCAGTGCCTGGTGCCGGAAAAAAGACTCAGAAGGGAACACAACAGCTATATTCCGAACAAGCGAGTGCGAGAGCAAAAGTAACAACGGCCCTGTGCTACTTAAAGGGGACTTTCTGACATTGATCCAGGCTGTCTGATAGGCGTTAGCGCACACCCGTCAACATCGACGGCGCCTCTATGAAATGCCTGAATGTAGATCACATTCGGTCGTGCTTCTGTGGCGTTCAAGAACACTCATCAGGTTTTGCTGAATTGATTGAATGATTGACTGGCCTGGGTGCTTGTCGGCTTTCCCGCTGAGATTTTGGTGGAGCAGTAGGTTTCGGGCGTTCTGAGGTTACTTTCAGGAATCTGGCATTCCTTATAATACGAAAGACTGTTTTCCAATGAAGTCGGTAGTCCTATTGCTAGTGTTCATCCCCTAAGGTAGGGTTAGAAGATATAAGTATTTTTGCCGAAAAGATCAAAGACTTCCCGTCCCTTGTCACGCGCCTTACATCCATAGAGTGTAAGACCGTTCTCCTGTGTGTGCGGCTAGTGGAGACATTTGTTGTTATGGAAGGTTTTACCCATCTTGGAATATTTAACGTCGCTTCTGTGCATTCTTTTAGACAGAAGCCGACAGCCACTTTAAAGGCATCGTTGCAGTCATTTGAAACAGGGTTTTCCGACCAGATTTGATGATCAAAGCACAAATAACCGGACTTTGCTTACTAATTTGACACCATATCTTCACATCTTCGGGAACATGTGTCACGTACAGCAAGGGCTTTTTCGTTGCATGGTTTTTTAGGTGACCGTTTCAGGTTCTTGATAGAGATTGCCTACAGAATCGCAGTTTCTGTAGGCTGCTAACGGCGAATGCCTGAGGAGAAAATCGGTAAACCAATATTCGATTGTGCTGCAGGAATTTCAAAGGGGGGTTATGTCCAAGGGAAACTGTGGTGCCTTGATCATCTTCCATGCACGCCGAGTCAGGGTCTACCGTAGAGCTAATGTTTTCTGTACCTTCAGAATAACGCAAGCTGAGAAACAACCAATCTCTGACCTGGAAGAGAGTAGGAAAACGGTAACGGAAGTCTGGACGCTCGATTTAGATTAGAACTAGGTCCTTCCTTCCGCTGTTCCACTCCTGACAACAAGGTCGTACGACATCAGTGACCAATATTGATGTTGTCTTTTCTTCATAGATGATGATTGTAAAATTCCTCCGTAATACGTTATACTTTGCCCATTCAATTTTATGCTTCTATGATATGCTTGCTATGATATTAACTTCAGCGTCTCCGAGAACATCCAGACTGCGAGGGATTTGATTTCTCCGCGTTTCTGCTTGCTCCAGTCCAACGTCTTCCTCGGTATTTATTATTGATCCGACAGTTAACCCGCCAGTTCAACAAGCTGCTTCAGTGTCAGCTGCTTATATTGAATATTCCTATTCGAACAGCTTGGGAGTTGACCAAACAAACCGAAGATCGATTGCATCAAATTTTAGTAAACTTGGACTCACAACTAGTGGGAAAACTTCAAAGACCCACAGGAGCTTCTACGTTTGGAAAACCAGAAACTCACGGCCTGAATTCTGAGGATAAACAACCATTGTCTGTTCCAGAAACATCTGCAGAAAGAGTGGCTGAGGAGGCTGAAGGAGTGCGGTCACGCGTGCGACGAGTATTTAGTGATAAAGTCAGTAACAGGTATGCCTACTCGTTTTTTTGACAAAATTAAATGACAGGCCATTTGACTGATGCTCTTTCAGTAATCTGAATGAGACAGCTCTGGTTTACTGGCTCCTTTTGTTGTGCATATTCGGAAGCTCTTTTCAGAGCTTGGAAGGTGTTGAAATGGAAGCCCTGAAGTTGGCAGTGTAACGAATATTCTGGTCAATTTGATGTACTCCATCTGCCAAGTAAGAGCTAGTCACGCTGAACCGTTAATTTGAATGCGTATCGATAGAACAGACTGACAAATCTGGTGGTACTATAGTGTTCAGTTAATCGTAGACGGTACGTTCGCAAGCCAGTCTTCTTAGTTCAGTTCAGTTCAGTTCACTTTTCAAACTCGCAAACCATGCATCGAAGGCGGTGATTTTAGTCTCTATAGCTTTGTTCACCGAGGATTAGTAGAATAGAGGAGAGTATGCGCTGTGGGTGATAGGCCAGTGTCGATAATTGGTCTGTTTGTCCAGCATGGTAGGAAATGAGAGATACGCAGCGAAGAGGATGGGGCGAGACGAACCAAGTGGTTAGAGCGCGAATATACTAACCGGCAGATCCGCGGTTCCAACCCGACTTCTGCCTCTCGAATTCCCCTGTCTAGGCTTGGGCAACCTGGCAGTATCGCAGCCCTAGTGCCTCCTTCGTGCGGCATGGCAGCTGGGCACCGAAAGGGTACTACAGCTGAACGATTAATTTTTTTATTTAGTGAAGAGGATAACTTTGGTACAAGAGCGCCATTGGATATGTGACGGAGCCATATCTATCAGGGCCACCAACGATTCGTTTGTCTTGTTCAAATAGAGTCATCATCATCATCACCATCATCGACAGCATAACATCAGTGTTCAACACCGATGCACCTCTGCCGTACAACCATGACTTATTTGAAAGCCTTATTGTAAAGAAAAGAATAAAGGTGGATGGGGGAGGGACTTAGTGCTAGCTTAACACAACTGTACGCAGCGGTGCAAAGTGAAATGTTGACGTACGGGAGGGAAGCTTCGGTTTAGTGAAGTAACCTACTGAACATTACCCAACATTTTTCACTATGAACAAACATGCCAAAATTCTCATGCTATCTTCCAAGCTCAGATCTGTTCCGCTTAGCTGAAACTAATGGAAACAGTTTTGCGCTGTCTGAAAGAAAATTACTTCTCCTTAATAATGGTCTATAGCATGGATAAGTTTCGTTAACGATGAGTTCCTGCCAGTTCACGTTGTAGCCCACCTGAGTTGCTTCTATGGAATTTTGGCCACGGTGACTGACAACTGACAATGGCGTACGCAATTCGGTCCCAGTTTAATAGTAGCCACCAGCTTTGTTTGGGAGTCAAAGGCTTTTGCGCCCACCTACCTTGACGTTCTGTTACGTCTAATGGGTTCCTGTGATCGAGATCGCAATTAAGCTGGTCAAACACTTTTTCCTGACTAAGGCGGAAACAAACCTTGATGCTGCGAGTGTTGGATCACTGTTTTACTCAAGGAGCCTTGTGAAAACAGTTGGTAGTAAAGCTTGATCCAGTGTCAGGTTGAACACATCAGAGTCCCGGATACCGTTCTGCCGATCTGCTCACTAAGCAGGCTCGAAATAGTCATCGAGCCAGCACCACCGACTGAAGTTGATTATCTGTGCAAGGATTTGATGCACGCAGGTAGCAAGAATAGAGTCAGGTGCAGTGATAGAAAAATTTTCTCATAGCTCAAAGATCCAGTCTCACTGAATGTGAGATCATTTGAAATATACGCGCGGTATATTTCATATTTTTGAACTGATGTGGCATTCCAAGTTATATGAGTACTTCTACTGGTAGCGTTAACACCAGACGCCACTGCATGGTGGATTAAATTTGACGCCTTATTGACTGTTGCATTGAGGGAAGTAGCAATATGTAAAGGTATTCCACAGTGATTCGCTCATCCTTACATCCGAACGACATCAATGCCACTCGTTGTGATGAGAGATGAGGGAAGCGAATACTCCACAAAAGTAGTACAGCGCTATGCATGCCTCAGTTCAGCAAGAACTGATGTGTGTTCGTTCACAGTCACGTTGGACTGGCCAGCTTGATAGGCTGATCTCAACGCGACCAAAAGCTCATGTGAAGTATCGTCACGCCAAATGCACAAGAGCACCAAAGTCCTTGATTCCCAAAAGGAGCTGTCCGCTACTGTCAAACATAAATGTATGTCAACCAGTTATCATCGGAACGATTTAAGAGGACTATCAGGCGCGATGACCGAGAGGTGTCATCTGGAGGTCACTCCATTGGAAAGCAGATCGACCCCATAATTCTTCTCATTGATGTTTGTTTTGATTTTGCGTAGTCTATGTAATTTTATGTGTACAGTTTTGTCTAATTTAATCAGTAGGGACTGAGTATTCCACACCAATCTTATGGGTGATGTATCCCGTCAAGAAAATAGACTCCAACATTTTGAATACCGTACCAATCGATACATGAGGCAGTCTTTTCGCAGCGAATCCAGTTGACGAGGTACATCAGATGGATTCAGTTAAGTCCCCGTTAAAATCAAACTAGTTTTCAAAGGAATGTATCGTGCAGATACTAGAAACTTATTGCACTCTATTATTTTGAATTTTTACCCACATCTTTTATCTTTACCTAAGGTTGGACGAACAAATACAACCCGACGCAGGAGATGAAACCGAAGTCACTCGAGATCCAGAGGCATTCGATTTATCCAAGGCAACCGGTAATCATTCGTTTATTGCCAAAAAGAGTAACACATCGAATGATGGGGACAACAGAGACACGTTCTTGGTGGGGCATGAGCTAGAAAACTGGATCAAGACAAGCGAATTGATCAACGCCTCTGAAAAAGATAAACGTAGAGGAGTTCTGTTTGACCAGGATGTATGTTCTGTCCATGAAGATCAAGCGAAGAACAACGCACGTCCGACAGACTCATCTCCCGAGATAGCGATCATTACGAATTTTCAACCGAATACGGTAGCTTCTAAAGAACGGGACTTCAATTGCATAGAAAGGTACGGTTTTCCAGTGGAAAGCAGTCCAGTAGGACTAGAAGTGCAGCTTGTCGGTAGCCATCAGCCAGAGGAAGAAAACAATGCACGAACAGCACCCAACAGACCAACGGATACTGATGCGGGCGGACAGATGGAACTAATTCCCTCATGTATTGTTCAGACCGTCGACTATACGCAACCGGAACAAGAAGAAGCCAATTTTCATGAGCGCACTTCAGCTTTGGTCGGTCAGTGTTCTAGTACTTAGCCCCATGCTTCTGGTATAGCGTCTGATAAAATCCACAGAATCTTTTCTGTCCCACTATTGTTTCGCAGTCCATAGTCACTATAGTGTGTAGTCTGAGAATTTAGACGCATTGAGTCCGGTAATATAACTAAGCTATAGATTCACCATGAGAATGGGAAGTCCAAAAGACGATTCGCCTCGCCTATAGACCAAACACGTGTCTGATATAGTCCCTAAGGTGATATTTGGAAGGCTTGTCTCGTTTTTCCACTCAATTGACAGAAACTTGTCAGGCTCAAATGACAAATTTAACTGACCCTCTTTGTTTGAAAACACACCCGGGGAACTATTTCATGTAATTTTTTTATATAGCTGGAGCCAAATCTTTAATGCCACAACGGAACCATATTCGCTAACAACGACAAGTAAACGCAACTTCTGGCCGGAAGTGATCTCTGCAGGACAACTTTCGTGACTACTGAGAGGTTTGAAGTAGTATGTTGTTCAAGAGCAAGCAAGCAGTAATTCCACTATTAGATGCTAAGACAGTCATGAAATGACGAATCAAGGCGTGAAGTACTTCTTCTAGCAATGATTAATTTTTCGTCGCCTTCATGGAGCCACGTGATGTGAGTACAACAGGTCTGGTAAAAACAGCTACTCCGCAACTTGACGCATTGCTTTGTCTGGTCATATTGATATTTTGAAATGACCTCACATTCTGAAAACCATACGACGTGTTTACTTACTCACAGGAGTTTTTTCAATAGACCCCGATGATTTCGTATAGTGAGAATAAGTGATCGATAATGCTCTCTCATACCAGGAAATGCTTACATTCTTCTTTGCATCCTGTAGTCTTGACATTTAGTTTACGACCAAAATCTTCCCGATCCGGACGTCATCCACCATGCCTTACCCATAGTACCTAGAATAGTAGCCATAAGCAATTTATGAAACGAGGACTATCCCACCCAACTTTTATAAAATCTTCGGTTGTCATTTATTTTATTGTTTTTTTTGCGCAAAAACACCAGGTGCTGATTCAATCCTTAAAGGCAAAAGGCAAACAGCTAGGTTGGTTGGTTGTTGATCAGATGGCTGTTGATCTGTTCGCCGAGCTTGGCAAACAAGCTCGGCCATCTGATGAACAACCAATAAACTCACCCGAGCTACCAATATTTCACCACATTACCAGCTATACTGGTCCATTTCAAATATTCAGCCACTTCCAATTGCAGCTACCCCAGGATAAGTTAGTCTTATCAGTGGGTCGTCTGGAACTTGTGATAGATAAGGATGATGTTTGGCACAGGGAATTCAGCGTAAGTGTGGACACTGTCGTCGGTTTGCTTCAGCACCAGGACTAATGCAGCCCAACCGCATAACCTTCACCTGATGTCACGCGGACACGGTGTAATTATCAAAGTTCGGTGAAGCGTAGCACAGGTCGTTTGAGTCCGGTCGGGATTAAAAAACCGTTCAACTCTAGCATCTTTTTGATGCTTAACTGCCATGCCACCCAAAGGAAACGCGAGGGCTGGGATACCGTAAGGTTGCCCAAACCTAGACAGGGGAAGTTGAGAGGCAGATACCGGGTTCGAACCACAGACCTTCCGGTTAGTAAATTCGCGCTCCAACCCCTGAGCCTTCTCTCCGGGAACTTGGAAAACGTAAAGTGGTAGTAGTCAGTAGAAACCTAATCAGCTAATCAGCCGTAGAACAATGGACAATATCTCTCGTGTAAATACCACCTATCAGTTGTCCCTACTCCAAGAAACTCAAGTTCAGGATAACCACAACCACTTTTCAGAGGTCCGGTGAGTGCATTCTCAGCTGTGTGACCAGTGACAGTAAAGTTGGCTAAATAGGCCTCGCCGTATTTCCCCATAAATGGCGGTTATATTTGGAACTATTCATTTAGAGCTGTATGTGAAATCCAGTGAATGAAACAAAAACAAAGCTTCTCAATGAGCGTGAATCGCCAGCCAACGAGGTGCACACCATGCTGGGTTGAAACTCTCTTTTCCATGTAAACTAGACGACACGTTCTGGCCAAGCGATGATTATTTATTCCGATAACAGGTTACCGAATGACACATTCTGTACCCTATGATTCAGCACTATAGGTGGTATTTGCAGGAAGATAAAAATCTCGGCAAACGGAGACACAGAATAGAATTTCTAGAAGCATGGTACCCCACGACGGATTCGATCAAATGATTTTATGAACTAGGACCCTTATGTGCAAAGGACCGATATCTCAAGTGGATTACTCAAAGAGAGCCGATTAGCGGGGTCAAAAACCAAGATACAAGTGGCTTGACAAGTGCTCTCATTTGTATATCAATTTGGTTCCCAGGGTAGTCTCAGCTGAATCTCTCGTTTATGTTACTATTCAAATGAATGTGCTGCACAAAGGCCGCCTCATATTCGATCTTTGAGATATCGCACTATATATTCATAAACGAAGCCACTCACAAGGTTAACGAAAGCTCTTCGACAGTCAACGACCGGTTTCGCCCTTCTTGGGCTCATCAGGTAGGCGCAGTCCTCGAGTTTCCGTCAACCCTACGTTCTACTTAAACACAAATTGGACAGATTTTAGCAAATACCTCCATTTGCATATCAGTTTGATTTTCACTAGAGACCCAGTGCTGATAATAGTTATGAAGTGGAATTTATATGTAATATTAATCGTTCAGCTGCCATCATTTCATCAGTCGAAAATGATTCCCCTGAAGTCCAATCAGATACACGCTGTAGATGTTAAGTAGGCTCTAAAATTGCAGCTACTCACAGAATAAGCAACACACCAATCCGTCAGCTGTTAGTGTGTATAGACGTGTGTATAGACGACCCAGAAGCTTGGTGTTCCTTGACTTCAATAATGCGTCCGACTCTGCCTCACTGCATTTGCTCATCAGGGGGCTGTTCGGAATTTTTCGAACGTCATCCTGTCCTTATATTTGCATAGTTTGTGGCATTTGATAGTATACGGCGAGCTTCCTAGAAGCTTTCTTACAAAGAAAGGTATCTGGCAAGGATGTTTACTTTCCTTTCTTGTTCAACTTGGTCATTGATGAAGTAATGAGGCAAACGCTTGGAAGTTCCTCAAGACCGCGGTGTTTAGATCGTTGTTTGCAAGACCGTCATTCAACTGGAGTACTCAGGCGACGTCGTCCTCATCTCTGAAGAGGAGGATAAAGCACAAGTTTTGTTGAATAAAATGACCACCATTACGCCTTCTTCCAGCATGTGCCGTGCATCTTCAAAGTTGCTTCAGAAAGTGTAGTCCCAGCATACTTCCTGATATTCAGGGAGAAGCACTGGAGGTTGCGTAAAATTCCACATACCTCGGTAGTTTTATGAACTCTGATCAAATCAGTGCAAGAATTTCAAAGGCTCGAATCACGTTTGCTAACATGCATCACTTGTGGCGTCAAAGCAGCATATCACTACAGTAACGGTTGCGCTGTATAGTTACCAAATATAACCTCTTTTGACAGACAATCTGTGTCGTCCCCAGGTTTTTGACCGCCGATATCTCACAAGTGTTACTGGTGTCAGATATCACCAACGGAAGTAATTGGAGAACAGGTAGTTAGTTGTGCAGCAGGCGCTTCAGTTTCGGATACCACCCAACAACATCAACTGCGGTGGGTCGGCAATGTGTCACGCATGCCGAAACGTCATGTACCGAGATGACTTGACCTCTGCTCCTCCATAATAGCGCAAATCGCGAGGTGGACGGTGTATAACTTGGCAGAAAGGTGTGAAAGAGATCACGAAGGGCCTGGGTGTTGCTGGTGCGGTCCATCTGCCAGGACGGCGTCTCAATGCCCCACCTTGCACTTGACCGGAGACATTGTAACAAATAACGACTGATCGTTTTCGGTGGCGTTCGTGCTGTCAGTATATTTCCAGATTGTCTAATCGAATGCCTGGAGGTGTAGGCACCTCATAATATTTGCGACAAGTCTTCCACTCTTCTCTCTCCACCTTAAGACTTCAAGTATAATTGAATAAACTTCGTGGTTGTACGGAACTGAAGCGTCAACACCGATATTACTGTCTCTGGTGATAATGATGAACGCACTCAAAATGGACGCATATAGTGCGAGTCATCCTCCGAGGAGAAAATTAAGCACACCATTGATCAATCCCCACTATTCACCCATCTGCCTGAACACTGCTCAACCATTAGAAGTGTACTGGTTAGTTTTATCAAAGACGAAGTAGTTGTCCCTTGCTTCTCGGCTCCTGAGCATGAGTCCAATTGTTTTAGAAGCTCATCTACGGTCAGGACCTTGAAAACTCTGCTACTTGTAACTAATTGTTGTTTTGTCACTGTCAGCGTAATGATTTGGTTTCCAGGTGGTTAAACACTCATGTATGTCTCATCGTGTTCCATTTAAGGTAATGAGTGCGAAATGCGTCAGAAGAAGGACTCTGAATGGCATTCAAGTACGGTTGCTTCAGACATTACTGATCCTCCTCTCGTTGAGGTGAGTTTTTGGCAGTCATTTTCTAGCTCATATTCGTCTGATATGGACTAGCAACAGTCAACGGGAAACTTTGGGCATGCCTTTTCTAACCTGCAGGCTGTGGGACAGTATACATCCCGTGGGAAAGTACTCTGCTACAAAGATTTGCTTTTATTGCTATCCTTCTAGATGGAAGGAATCTCCAGAACCGTACGAGGAACACTCCATCGCCCGTGACTTCCCTATTGTTTGTAGTCACGGTGGCCTGCTGTTTGTTGCGACTACCATGATATCCGGCAGCATCAGTCGCCTCTTAGTTCGAAATGATCCAACTTTGTCGATAATTTACTCCAAGACGGTTAAAAATTGTTCAAAAGCACCAGTTGTCACGAGGACTCGCTGTTCTCAGCCTGATGACGGGATTGTAACACACATCACGAGGCAACACTTATCGGGTCATAATAAATGCAAAGTTTTAGGGGGACATAACGTGACCAAGTGTTGTATCGTCGGTGGCCGTCTATTGGGTTACGCCTGCATTGAGCCTGCCAGACTACGCGATAGGGAGAAGACAGAGAACTGGGGACACGGATGTACTGCCAGGACAAAACATACAGAGCGTCTGCGTAAATATATAGGATGACTAAATGGCCAACTATGGTCGTTCACTTGTTCGCTCCGTACAGCCAATGGTGATGTTCCGGTCGTGAACAATCTCAGGGCCACTACGCTGGTCGTATGTTGTTGTTGTGAGAGCCGCCAACTCACTTGCTTTCCGGACGTGTCGAACCGATGGTGACCTTGGGGATGCGTCTCTCTGCACATGTGCTTTTTCTTCTGTCTAGGCGCGCCCTGACACCAAGTCTGCAAAACCAGTGCATTACTTGCTTTCTTCTGATTGGGTGCCATCGGATGAATGTAGCGGACTTGGTTACCCTGGTAAGTATCTCGCCACTATTGACCGAAGAGTCCAACCGGCCACCGACCACACGAAAACTATGGATTGGAGTGTTGTGACGTGTAACTAAGGCATTTAGAATGCTATTCCCAAGTAGCTGAATTCTGTTACTGTTTCATCTCACGGACTGAACCAAGAAACCAATCCAATGCAGTTGTCTTATCTTGTTACGATAAAATGATGATGTCCTCTTCGGTTTTCATTCAAACCTATCCCATTTACATGTTTCATCGTGACCCGAATCACTATATGTAGACGTTTATACGTAATTATGAACTGAAGACTATAAATTCCAACACATTTCTGTTTAAACGCCGTATCGTAACAGTTTTTATATGAAAGCAAAATATATTAGCGTGAGGACCTAGTACTTATCAGTTGCCCGTCGTAAGAGAGAAATTTATTACTACCATCTTGCCGTGGTTTCGTCCAGATACATGTAATCGGGACATCTTTGTGCTTCAAATCATTATATTTTGTGAATTTTTGTGAATAAAGGCTCACTGTGAGGCTATCATGATCAGCAGCTGTAAATCATAAGTAAGAATGATGATAAAGTACCACAACCTTCCGGGAATACATTTACTTGCACACACTCAGCCGCATCAAAATACGATCGATGTATAATATCCTTCCTGTAGCGCAACGTTCACCATCCTGTGGAACAGTTGCATCAAACAGTGCGTGATGACCAACTGAGGACCGAACCAACAGCCGGCCTTCCAAATGATGACTCACTCAATGCCCGCGGTTTCACTTGTGGAGATCAACCGGAAGGCAAGTAAGTGACCACTATTATTCACACCTATTTACAACCTAGGTGAAGCTTATTATATACTTTTATTAACCTTCCTTGGGGTCATTTTGAAGACTGGATAGCTTCGATTTTGAAGGAAGAAACGGTAGAGTTCCACCATTAAGTTTATTGCTCATCTCAAAGTTCACTCTACCTTTCCGAGTCATTTTTTTACAAAAGCATCGACACTGCATGGTTATTCGTGTACTTCGTCCCTTCCCTCTTGTTTATATAGCTTTTAGAAAGCAACTCATTGGTCTGTTTGAGGTACTTCCCAAAAATTAAAAGAGGAAGTGAGAACCACATTGCATATTGGTGAGGCGTTCTCGATAGTTAACTAGACACATAAACGCCAGCTGCCAAGCTGGTGAACGGATCAACTCCAGACAAACGCCCCAAGCCCATTACCAGTATTCCTGTACTTTTAAAATCCCAACCATTCTGGGTCGTGAACTGCATAAGCTTCCATGTATTTTCGCCTTACACTGGAAAACCCGAGCACTTAATAGTACTGGTCAGAGTCTGAAATAGGTTTTCTCTAGACTGCTTCCATACTTTAAAACAGGCACGTGTGTATTATGCACGAGCATAATACGGCATCGAAATTCTCACGGGAGAATGAACTCGGCGCTGTCAAGTGTGAAAGTACTTTGGGGTTCTGGGAACCTTATTCTCACTACCACTAATCTACTACGGCGACTGTTTCCCCTGGAGAGGGTTGACCAGCCTCAGGAACGACGTGAATCGCTGCTGCCTATGAAGCACGACAGATAGCGTAATTGGGACAGTAATACGAAGAATTTCGTCCTAGCTGGAACTCAACAGGCGGAACGGACACGTGAGCATTGGGTTAGCAATCACAGCCATCAGACAACAGGAGTACGCTCTGCCAAGTTGCAGAACTTTGGAATTTGAATTCGATGCGAAACTTGGTTGTATCAAGCTGTCAACCTATTCCGACAAGTAGCTAATTCTTTTCTTGAACCACTAAACAAAGACGCAAATGTATTACCAGATGAATCTCGGTTAGCATGAAGGCCGTCGTGTGACTGAACTTCTCAAGGTCGTCCGGCCTAGCCTACGGTTTGGTTACTGGTAAAGGCGAAGATCAATAACTATTCAGCTAAAACTACTCATATACTTAACAGTAATTGGAATGCCTGAATAAGTCAGCAGTTGATGAAATCCATCACCTGAACTTGGCGTTACTGGTTCGTTTAAAAGCAACTGCTATGCCTTGAATATGGTACGAATAAATCACAAAAGCTTCGAATTCGGAGAGGAAATCGGTAAAATGAAGCATGTTAATACAATATCACACTGAACGGAAACATACATTACGTTTACCATTATTTTTCTTCCGAACTAGATCAGCTCCTCACAAAACCACCCAAAGCAATCTTGGTCCCAAACAACAAAAAACACAGGTTCAGCAACGGAAAGAATCAAGTACGTTGAAAATTACAAGGGCACAAACTTTTGACACACGGCCATCGGTTGAAAAACCACAGACGATGTGGAAGTTTTCCGTATGGAATTTTTTCCGCCGTAAACCAAGGTGAGTCGTCGGGGCGAGATAAAACAGCTGAAGAGCTGCGGCTTTCGGTAGGAAGCTGGACTGTATGTGCAGTGTTAAATACAGTTCGATTGTTTTATGTGGCACCCAGTGTGGCTGAACGAGAGAAGGTTTAATCTTTTCAAAAACCGTTTTGCTAGATCTCCGAAACCCAATGATGGGAAGGGAAAATTGGGTGTACTTAACACAACTTTGTAGTTCACTGACACTTCCAGATATTGAGGCAGAGGGTTCTCGTTTCTGCGCTGCCTTTGTCCATAGTTAACACAACCCTACATCAGCTCCGGATGACGTTGGTGTGTTTTTGATATGAATATCTAATAAGCTACGTACTACAACGACAGAAATCATCAACGACCGAATGGAGCCTTAGCGAATTTAGTGAATTTGCTGTTTCTAAGTTGCCAGTACTATGTTTGGACGGGTTACCTGTTGAAGTCTAGCTTACTACCGAACAGATACATGACGCATCTGTCAAAACATCAACAGACGCTGAATAACTGTTTCTCCTCATTCTGAGTAATCCGCAGTGCGCATATTCAGAATCTAGAGGGAGAGTGAAACGTGAAACCTGTCAGATTAGAGTTGAACGAGTGGCTAATCAGCAGTCTGGTCAACTTACAGCCATGAGCGATACAGTGACACTTAATCCTAAAAGCGCAGATTAATGTCTACCTATATTCAGTCTATCACTATCAAGGAAATACCTTGCAAAGTAGGCACCGGATGCCTCTGGACTGCTCACAAATGGCACGTCCCCTTTGCTATCCGTCGTGGTGACCACCCGGAATCTCACTACATACGCGCTACTGCTTCCACGACCAAGTGAATTACGTGACCCACGACTCATATGTCGTTCCCGTTCACTTATACACATTCATGTTTACATCTGTAGCCTAACCACGCACGTGATTCATGTTTAGCGTTATACGCATCCAACTTATTAGCCAAGATGACCGGCCACAGGAAAATAAGCTTTGTTCGCTACCTTATTTCTTATTGGTCCCAGTTTGGAAATCGATTGTGTAAAGTAACGCCGTGAAAAATTGATTTCGTATTGATCAAATATGTTACAGTCAAGCATGCCTGTTTTCTTTGAGAACCTCGATTAAGGACAACAGCAAAAGATTGGAGTCGTCTTATAAAGTGTATTCCACCTAATCAATTTTCAGCTCAATGGATGACGTTTCAGGCGCAACCAACAGGAAGAAAGGCAACGATGAATCGTTGAACGTGTCCACGGATGATTTGGAACGGCTGAAACCTTTGAGTCTAACAGAAGTCGGGGATGTTCACTTCTATGAAGAAAGTCGGTCAACAGAAACCAAACAGAATGTACAAGGCGGATGTCATACGCCTTCGTTGAATGCTAGCTGGTCAATCCAGAATCAATTCGGCCGAACATTGATAGACTTCCAGGAGGCGTTGCAAGTTTCACTAAACTATCCACAGAATAACGACCACATGTTCCTGGATGAAACCGGAAACATATGCTTTGAAATCTAAAAAACAAGGATGGACATTGGGTTCATCGTTTCCGTGTGTAAATACAGGTGTGTACCTACATGCTTTTAGAAATCAATAATGCAAAGAAAGCACTCATGGCTACCCGTCAAAGTCTTTGTTTTGTAAGAGTGCAGCTGTTTCTGGATTTGGTCGAGTTTAGTAGGTTGAACTGAGGAATAATTGGATTAGTCCGGTTGTGTTCGACGAAAAAAGACGTATGATCCGAGGGACTGCGTGACTAATCCACCTTTCCCCATAATGTCAAATTAAATTGCGAATTCGAGGCATAGTGTTTATCAGGAATTCAAGAAGGATCGGTGACCGGTTAGAACAAACGACCTGAGTGATCACAAGCAATTGCATTTCCTTTAAAAAGTTGACAGTTGGTTAATAGAACCTCTTAACCAAGTCCATGGGCTGCACAAGTGCAATCGAAAGAGGCATGGTCACGAGGTCAACCCGTTGTTGATTGACGTGAGCGATCTCATATGTGCGCATTGGAAAAGCCTTGACAACGTCAAAGCTCTTCGTGCCTTAACCACCATACCGCTTATCGAAAACTAGGAGTTCAAGGTCATATAGAGGGTGCTGAGATATGAAAAGAAGCTCCAGTTTCGGAATGTTACTCGCAGGTGCAAAAAAGCAAGGTTATCTTCATTACGATGAAGAACAGTACACCACCGGTTCAAAAGAGTTCCATCTGAGAATACCTTGCGGTATAAAGAGCACGAAGGCCTAATTTCAACCTGGAGTAGACATTCCTCTTATGGAAACCGGCTGCAAGACCACCAGCGATATGGCTTCGTAGCCGAAATCCTCAGCGACAGCTCACGAGCGCCTCATGTCATGAAAATCAAGTAGATAACACGGAGTTCACGAGTGCTTTCAAACCCCTCTCCATGCCAGCAGAATACCTGACTGTTTTTGAACCAATTTGGAGGCATTTGGAAAACAGATCTTCTACGCAGATGTCTCATTTCGGAACTGGCTCTTCGTCAGTTTACAATACTGGCATCGCCTCTGGTAGATTAGCTGGTAGAGGACTTCGGATGCACTTATACGAGACCATGTGGATGTCGGAACAAAGGCGAGATAAACTAAAAATGCTCCGCAACATACTCGTAAAACGTGGTGCAATATGTCCACTCGAAAATATTGAACAAAATCCGAGTCGACTAGGTAGCATGACATCGTACCTTGGATGGGAATTGCCCATATTCACGCTGGCTCGATTGTTCTGTGATGAAAGTAATCGAAGCCAATAGTCGAAAAACTCTATGTAGAGAGTATGTAGAACAGTACATCGAACACCAAGAAAGCACATCATATTGGCACTGAAATCTGACATTCCTAGAACTTCCTGATGGCTAACAAAAATTTTGGTCTCCAAGTCCAGATGAACGGCACGTCCCACAAGACTGCTATACTATAACGCCACTTTAGTGCTGGAAGGACAACCCTGGTCAACCGACACGTGGCGTAGTTAACAGGTGCGAACGCCTAAACGATGATGTCGGATCTCACAATTCTTCGGGTCGGTGAATTTTCAACGAATCGCTTTGACAGGTACTAAATTCGTGAGGATGGCACGAGTCAGCTGCGTATTGACGCTCCGTTCCTCACAGACCCACTGATGGTTTAACCTCGAGTGATGATGTAGATGAGAAAAACAGTGGAAGACCATTTTGAACGGCTTCTGATTAGAGCTTTCACAAAGATGACACTGAACATTACCAAACTACTTCCCACTGCTACAAATGCATCAGATAACGGGTCAACTGATAGTTGTGTGCCTCAAGCATAGTTTGTCACATCGGCAACACCATTCGGGGCTTAATTAGAAAATATGCATTAGCTGGATTCAGAACATTAGCTTCCAAGTGGTAAAAACAGAGGCTGAAAAGGACATCGGTTCACTTCCTCCGTACCATTCACCAGCGCATCTAGCTGCGAAATACCCTACAGCCTGTCCAAACCACCTGTGACTGCATCCTAAACTAACCAAGAGAGCCCTCGTATTTGAACCAACTGGTGCCCCCTCGGCCCGTAGTGATACACTTTGTAGATATGCTCCAGATCAATGAGTCAAGTAGTAGCCCACCACATCAACTGCCAGAAAACGGCACATGAACCGGAGCGGTTAAATAGCCCTAAAACTGCTTGACATAGTCCAGAGTGAACCTAAAGAAAAGCTATTTGGGATCTCGAAAGTTCGGTGGAAAAAATTTACTCAGATACTGAAATTCGCCCTTAATGTTTCGTTATGCACCTCGTTGAATTCTGATGCTTTCCTTACTTTAACCGCGAGCATAAACCCGTCAGTTAAGCCCTGGTCTTTTACTCGGCCACTTTTCGCTATGTTTAAAACCAAACGATGATGCATACGCCACAGGAAATGAAGCTGACAGGACGGCGCTGAGGTGGAGGTGAATTGATAATTGGTAAGCACTGAATGAGAGGGAAACTTAAAATCAGAACAAATCAGTTAGTTGATAGAACCAAACATCTTCTTGGTATGAACCAAGTAACTTAAATCCTGTCTTATATTAGGGTTTCCAACTCAGATGTTCTTGGGAAACGGTGGTCCTCGTGAATGGGCGTTTTACGTGATTAAGCTGCGTTTCTTTGCTGAATCGTTGGTTAAAACACCGGGTCCTTCAGCCCAATGTGTGACAGCAGCCAGTGGAAAATCGCAATGTTATCCAACCTGACTGTTCTACACAGTAAAAAACACAGAACAGTAAGTAATAGCTAAAGGGCGAGGATGCGTCTGGTAGCGGCAGTTCCGAAACAGTCAGACGGCATGACCAATAGCTTTTGTGTATTGACTGCCGTTTTGTGATTAGGATTGCTTCCCAAGAGCGAGCAGGTTTACATCATTTAAATCTTTGCGAAGAGCTCAAATTACAGGAGTGCTTAAGTTTGGATTACCTTATCGCATTTCTGGTGTTTTCAGTTTCCCATCTTATTAAACTGGTGTACAAGCAGTATGGGTTTTTTACAGCGCCACCCGCACACATGAAGTCCTACACTATTCACTTTAAAAGGTTAGTTGGATTTCACATACGACCCCATGCTGCCCAATCTATTCCATACAGCAATTGAAAGCCTTGAAAATACACATATATATTCTAAAAAGCACTGTACAATCACACGTGCGTGTGACGCTAAAAATCTACAATGTAAGCTGCTTTCTTAGGCGCTTCAGTATTTGCTTCCCTTGACCAGTGAATCAGACGATCGAACGTCGTAAAATGTGTGATAAAGGCCGTAGGTAGTGCAATGCCTTGTGCGCGATAGACAAGGATAGGGTGATGACTTTCTGGGGTGTGATCCTTTAACCAGCCCAAGGGAAGGATGGAGGAGACAGCAAAACGACCAATCAACCGCGAGGAACTGATCAGGGGAGGTCCAGCGCTGGCCTGATTAGGGAGTATGAAAAAACGGGTACGGAAATCAACTGTTTCAGGCAGAGAAGCAACGGATTCGGGAAACTAGGGGTAACTCTGGTACCAGAATACTTCCAGGGGTTTTATTACTCAGGTACATTTCACTAACGTCTCAAAATTATCGGAATACATCCATACTGCATCCTACTTAATATTTGGTGAGCGTTTTGAAAAAAAGAGCAAAATATGAGGTCCAGTGAAATTGCAAACGCATGAGACGGAAGTGCAGTTCACGTCACAGAGGAAAACTAACATAAGCGATGAAGGGACTGGGGCGCCACTGGAAATGCGGTCCCATATGGCAGCTGCAGGACAGTGACGAGCAATACCACTGGAAATGATTTCCTTTAAAAAAGACTTGTCAACGGTACTTAGGCTGCAATAAACTAACATGACAACCGCACTGCTTCCTAAAGAAAGGTCTTACGAAGAGTATTTTGATGCAGTTGTCTCCTTCTGGAGAGAAGATCTGAAGAAATCTCCAGAAAGTGGTCTTTCTAGAAAGGGCCACTGTACTAACACTTTCATGGCTGTGCTACCACAGGACGAGGGAATTTCAGCTGTTCATTGAATACCCTACTAAATGTTTGTGTGGAAGCCAGCCAAAATCACATGCGTCCTTGCATACTATTCAGCGGAATCTAAATATCCGTGATCCCCAGCAAGGTTGCCGACAGCAATCGCTCTAGTGCCTTTTAAAACACACATTCGTTGTAGATGATGTAAAGTAGTCCGCCAAGTGGTTGGTGGTAGATGTGGTGCGCCTGATCTGAAGGGTCAGTTGAATTGAAGTGCACAGACTAGAAGAACATACCTCTACAAAACTTCCCATCTTGTATACAGCACCCTCATAAAGAGGCGTTGATGGGTCCTCGTCTACGGACGTTGTAGTTACTAGGGACAATTCCTTACAGATCTCTGCCAGACGAATAGGGTGGTCAGCAAAACAGGATTCTAGCAGACTGTGAGTAGGATTGAGTGGTTCGAAGCTCATATTTGACGTGGCTAGTCGTTGTCCATGAACGGACAGTGCTCGTAATTCCTCCGCGGATGGAATCCAAGGGGTGGGTCCTGTAGAGTCGGTTGGGGTGAAAGCAATGTCACAGAAAAAGCCGCCGCTTTCAGGTTTCAATACTGGGTTGCTGATGACACGCACTTCATGTGCGGGATGAAAAGCGGATTCCAGAGTGGCGGCAAGTAGAAACGAAGCCGAGCGCCAAAATGCATCATTCGCCGGAGTTGGATCATTATGAGAGTCCTGAAAAGGTGAAGAAAGCACGCCGACCGGGGTACTAGCAAGCCAATTATGGACAAACAATATTTTCCCATTAGTATATGAACAAATCAAGCAACGTTCACCGCTGAAAAATTGTGCACTAACGCATGCAAGTTCCACGTTGTGTCGCTACTCTACTAAGAGAGACGACTCAAAAAATCACTTGCTGGCACAGTTGCTTCTGACTATCAATACACAACATACGAAACTGTAAATGCAGTCGAGATAATCACCGCTATCGACAATAAAACAATGGCACTAAACGCTGGTGCTTAACTGCCACGCAGCCATGAGGAAAGAGTTAGAAGAAAAACAACCAGAAAGGGGGAGGGTGTGACCCGCTACAGGCGGCCTTATGTTCTCATGAAAAACAATCCAGAACAAAGCACCTAAAACGAGTAACACCAGTGAAGTAAACGTATCTGAACCACTTGGAGTTAACCAACATCTTCTACAGACTTCACTAAACATGAATCCATGGTAGTAGTAGTAGTAGTAGCAAGGGAACTTGCAAAACGTCTCCGTCGACTGAGATACACCGTCTTCGAGGAGTTGAGAGCCCCTACTTCTACGTCGTTCATCAAACCCGACCTAATCGCTGTTCGAGATCGCCGTGCAACTGTAATAGACGTCAGCATAGTCTCGGATGGGCGTGCAGTGATAGTGTGAAATGAGAAGAAGCAGAAGTATGGTGCTGATGAACATTCCCTCGCCATAATCTCAGCCCTACATGCCATCGGTTGTGATATCGACTTTTTGGTTCACCAATCGATGATCATCTCTTATCGAGGGATCTGCTTTCCTCGATCCGCTAAAGCAGTTATTGGACTGGGACATCCCACGGTCGCAGTCAGTGACTTGTGTTTGCTTGCCATTGTGGGCTCCCTGCGTACTTATGACACTTTTATGCGTGGCACATGGCGTTGAAGGTACATTTTTGCCATTTAATCTCACACCAGACCCAGTATGACGGTCACTTTGTGCCTGATGTGCGAGTCTTGACTGTGCTAGCGCACACTGCGCCTTGAAGAGCATTCACCATTGTTTGTCCTTTCTTTGGTTGTTGGTCCTTAGACGCGTGTTCCCATACCAAAATCTTTACATACTTTGGGATTCACCTCATCAGACTGGCACTGTCCTTGGCATGATTTCGAATGAGACGTTTCTCTCTTTTCCCCCATATTCTCCTGTTACTCTTTCGCATTCATCGCTTGCACTCACTTTTTTATGTTTGTGACCATGCTCTTCAAAAATAAATGATAATAGTACAGGGTGTCGCTGCTCTTGCTCTGACCGCTCCGTTTTGGCCTTGTCCTCTTCCCTCCCGACATGGTTGCACTTTGTGGAGCGAAGTTCCAGCCAGTGTAGCCCGCTGGATCATTGCAGTGCTCCAATCCGACCACCACACCAAGGTGGCAGCTTTAGGTCGAGCCTTCCCACCACCAAAACATGAATCCACCGTACAAGAACATATAAACCTTAGTTAGGCACTCGGACTAAGAAATGACAGCGGGCTAACCGCTGAGGCCAGTCATTTGTTCGATAGGGTTTCTAACGTGTAGGACAAATCACTTGGGACTCGAATCAGGGAGCCGAAGACATCATACAGCACGCAATTTGACAGCTGCCGATTTCATTTCACGCTGTCAAGCCATGATCTGTCCTCAACCAGCCATTAATCGACAAAACTTCGGAGCGGAAAATTGGATGGTGGTTTTGCGTGTTTAACACATATTCTAACCAACTAGACCTGAAGGGCTTCGTTATTGCCCTAAAGATTATATCCCATTACCAAAGCTTGCTAACGTGTTTCACTGCAGCCAGCTAATGCCTGCTCTACTGCAAAGGCACCTATCAAACTTTCGAACCCACCCAATGTCCTCGGATCGGAGGGACTACTTTTACAGTCATCTCGTACACATGGCCCTTAGAATTGCGTGAAATTCGTTTCTGACGCCGTAAACGATTTAAGTTCTTAAATGTTACTGGCGCCTGACTAATGAATGCGGTTACTTCGATCGCTATGCAGCCACGACTACGCAGTTGCGCAGATAAGTGAGCCGGTCAAAAAAGTCGATTCCTCTCCCTAAGATCGCTATGCAGCCACGACTACGCAGTTGCGCGGTTGAAAAAAGTCGATTCCTCTCCCTAAGACCTCAAAAGAACACGGGAGATTCAAAGTCTGTTGGCAATACTGAGAACTTCGAACATTCAAAATGCATGCCAAAACTAGGGATCACATTTGAAATTATACCTCTAGTAGACTTTGTGAACTGATGCCAATGTAGGCCGCATGGTTCAAGCCTACCCATCTTTCTCCAAATGAAATTTCGATACCATCGGCCTCAGTTCCATGATAATACCGGCAACCATCATGAACCCCGCTAGTAGACTTTGGGGTAGTTTGATGTAAGCTCTCACACGGCCGGAAGCGTGAGAAGAGACAGAATAAAGTATATTTACAGACTTCTCAGGCATTCCTCCTCGGGTGGGTGTATTTAGAAGAGTCGACGGTCTCTCTGAAGTCGAGAAAGACCGTAAATGCGGTATGTATGGTGTTGCTCAACTATGTGTCGCAACGAGCCACCCACCCGAAAAGAACCTTGCTTGATACCCTCTAATTTGCGCTTCACATGAGGAGGCTAGGTATCGCAGTAGGGTTGAAGCCAGTAGCTGTGCAACGGTCAGCGTCAGGCTTATATCCCTACGGTTTGAGCAGTCATTTCGTGTACCTTTTTTTATGAAGACAGAATCATTTATTCCAGTTATCTGGAACGTATTCACATTCCCATATAAGTTCAAACAACTTAGTTAGTGCTGATCCACCACCATCTCCAAGTGGTGTTGGTGCAAGTTCATCTTATCTAGCGGCCCGATAGCGCTCCAGAGCAGAAGCATTTTAGTACTTCACCAACTGAGGTAAAATTCGAACCGACAGACCACGGTTCGAAATGGGTGGGCCAGATGAGAGACAGATAGAGTTGTTGAGGCACAACAAGACTGTGGTGAAAATATTCCGCCCATCAGTCTGGACACTAGCTTTTATTATGTATCAGAATTTGGGTATCAGAATCTGGGTATTATATTTGATTAGCTCACTAACAGATGAATTACATGGAACGATTCCCCGTTGTACTGATCTCCTCCAGCTCTCTATCACCTCATTTTGTTTGGTGTCCAGACTGCCCAGCAGAACAGTGGTGCGGCCTCAAAAGGATACGACTTCTTGTGGGAAGAAATGAGAGCGACCGTTAGGAGATCACGCAATTAACATGTGCGCTCTCGGAAACACCGGGTACAAGTTTTCACATATAGCAGTTACGATTAATGTCTTCCGGAAAAATACCTTCAAAGCGTCGACTGCCAAACGGGGAATCACTCTTTAGGTTCTCCCGGGAAATTCAGTGAAGATCCACATGTAAGACGAGAACAATCACATGAATCAAAATATGTACTACATGGTAACTGACAGTCGGGTACTCAGCCCGTCCACTGGTGGCCAGTGAATGCGTAATCGAGTTGGCTTCATGGTTGTTCAACGGTAGGGGGACGTCGAGAAGCGAAATGGCGTCCACCGCGACCAGACACAGTACCGTTGGAGAGCTACTGGTGTCTAGTTATAGAAAACGAGTGACTACCATTAGGTCCCATGATCAACATAACCATGCTACCCATTTGTGTCTCATATGTATTGAGGCAAACACCTGCGCATGGAAATCTCCAACAATTACGAATACAGCTGAACGCTTTACGGTGGATGAAACTATTTTTCCATCAACCGTCTCGCGGGATGTGTTAAGTTGACTAGTACATAGGGCAGTTAATATTACAAAGATAATCGTTCAGCTGTAACACCTTTTTTCGGTGCCTAGCTGCAATGCCACCCCGAGGAAGCACGAGGGTTGTCAGGTTGCCCAAGCCTAGACAGAGGAAATCGAGATACAAAGGTCGGGTTTAAACCACAAACCTTTCAGTCAGTGAATATTGCACGCGACACAGGCCTTTACGAATGTGGATGGACGGATGACACACAGGCGACTGTTTACATGCATCCACCAGAATAAAGTGAAGTATAACAGTCGTTCAGCAGTGGCCGCATTTTAGAGAATAACTGTCGTGAAAATCAACGGTTAGGGTACTGCCAGATTGTCCAAAAACTAGACGGGAGCAATCAAAAAGCCGGTATTGGGTTCGAATTACGGACCAACCGACTTGTAGCTTCGCTTTTTGTCCGTTGAGCTACATTGAGCCAGACTGAAACAAATATAGCGTTGATGTCTCGGCATTCAAAACACCATAGTTTCGAAGAGCTCAGTTTCGGTTTTCACTTAGTGGCCAGTAGTGGTGAAAAATATTTGATTCTGCGTGCATTACCCATTTCGTCATTCTAAATGGATACAATTCAACTTCCACTTACAGGCGTTATTTTGCTCCGATTTTACGAATATTAATTGGAGGGCCCACAGGAGATTAGAAGGGTAGAAATCGAGCATAGGTTACACAACAAAATTGGACAAAATCACCTGTGCAGCCAAACAAGTTGTCGGCTTGGAAGCTGATATCACCAACGGAACAACTAGTCGGAGCAGTCGAAGAATCCCCTGAAGTTCGTGGCTGGCAGAGTCAGCGAAAGTGCTGCAAGCTCAATTACTATACACAAATTTCGTAATGGGGGGGTTCAGAACTGCGGTAAGCGTCTACGACAAACTGTCAAGAGATTGAGCAAGAGAAGCCTGTTGGCCAAAGTGCTGAGAAGTCTAAAAAGTGAATGCTTCAGAGGAATAGCGATGGTCGGATGTGATCAATGAAAGTGAGACGGTGTACGTGAACGGTGATGTGCAATAAGTCACTTCCCTGGTTTATGGATGAGGTGCCTACAGCCTGCATCTACGACACAGTAATCATCAAAAGGAGCGGAAAGACAGAAGACCGGAGAAAGACGAGAGGTGTGAACAGTAGAATGTTGTCACTCATCAGCCCTACTGCATTCGCCGAATACGGGGATCCGGCAGACTTTAGCATGCGACAGCCTATGTAGCACGGAGGCGCTTGTAATGTATTTCTTCTGTACGTGTGCTGAGATGTTGTCATGGCGCCCAGAGCTAGAGATGCTTATAGTCCTCAACCAGAGTCTCCCACCCAGAAGCTTGGCTGAAAAGCAGCAGAAGTTGGCTTAAGACCAAAACTATAGTTCAACTCCTAAGGACTATGTTGCCACACTTCTTCCGACTTCTAACTTGAAGAGCTAGGAGAATGTTTGTCAAACATCTACTCACCAGCTAACACTGTAGGGTGTTGCGTGGATGCTGCGTGGATAAGCTCGTATTTCTACAGATACTCTCACTTGTATATGAATATGGTCTTGACAAGAGACTCAACTGAATCCTGTTGAATCTCTCGTTTATGATGATCCACTTCAACTGAATGTGCTGGCACCAGGCCGCTACATGTTTTAATTGGTGCGATATTCAAAATACCGTAGCACATTCTTGTCTAGACGTGACGCACCACTCACAAGACCGCTTTCGCCTTTCTGAGTGCTTATTAGATGGGCGCATTCCGCGAACCTCTGTCGACTTTATTTTCCACTTGAACATAAGTTGAACAGAGTTCGGTAAATACTCTCATTTGAACACGGATTTTGTTTCAACAGGAAGCTCAACTGAAGCCAATGGAACCTCTCATTCAGCACAACCTTCTGCCCAGAACCTCAAAGTTTTGACTGCATGGTATTACGCTGCATGTGATTCTAAGTTTTCTTCCACACAACTGCGGAAACGGCATCTCTAAACCACCGGACTGAGGTCAGGATCCCATCAGTGCACCTCAAAACGGGTGTTCCGTGTTGAGAAGTACTGACGGAAAGTGGATCATCATAAACGAGAGGTTCAGCTGCATTCAGCTGAGTATCCTGTCAAAACCAAATTCTTATGCAAATGACCGTAACTGTCTAAATCCGTCCAATCTGGGTTCAAGTAGAACATAAGGTTGTCAGAAACTATGGGACTGCGCCTAGCTTATGAGTCCCAAGATAAATGCGACACACGTCCCAACCCCCAACCTGGAGGGCAATGAAATTTTGCTCATCAGAGCTCTAATGACCGACCATGCTGGCATGAAACTCTGACAGTGTCGCACGGAGATACAAAAACCGTCACGCCACGGTAAGCTCCAATCTCTTTGTTGTGGTTTCCTAATATCATCAGTCGTTAACCGATTCCGTAGCAATGGCAGCAACAGCGTGCGCATTCGTGCATGGCATGTACCGCTATATAATATGCACAGCAAATGCAGTAATGATAAATATTTCAACTTACTTTGAAGTGGAGAAACTCTAAAGAACAATCTTTCACAAAAGGATGAAACATGCTCCATGGGTGCCCATCGACCAAAGCAATGGCACTTCGTTCTGCCAGCAAGCTGGAGAGATGGCGGGCGCAGTCCATCGGTGTTGATAACCCCTTAGTCATTTGTAGGGCACATGGCTGTCCAAGTTTACCAATATATTGCACAGTGACCTTTTCCGTGACTGGAGAAAAACACGCTCGTTGCTGTGCATCATGTGCGGCCAACCAGGCATCTAGCCGACGATTTTGATCGAATCGCAAACAAGACTTAACGGCTGTGGAGGATACGGTTGTCATAGCACGCAGTCCAGTCCTAAATCTCCGAGTAGTTATTCGGCTAAACAGAAACATTTCGTTCTGTAAAATTTCAATGACGTTGTCAACATGCGCATATGAATAATCTCCGCGGAAGTATATCACTGGGTCAGTGACAAGCTGGTACTTGCATTGACAGTTTGCTCAAAGATGCATCCCTTGAGAGAAACAGTGCGAAAACAGCTGAAGATCAGCAATACGCACTTTCAGCAGTGATTGGAAGTGGGCTGTAGGACAGGTACCTAAAAAGAAAAATCGGTAGGTCATGGTAGAGATACAATTAAGCGGCTATGTATGAAATGCGTTGATCTTAACTGAACAGCACTCACTGGAGTCCAGTTCAGTAACGAAATTTCAGCCCCGGGCCTAAACACAGCTCCCATATCGCAGATATTATGGACAATCACTTGGGTGTTCCTTGGAGACATAACGCACAATCACCGAAAAAGTGGCGAAGGTCTGAGGAAAGAATGCCTGTTTTGTAATCTGATACGGACAACGGATGCATTGATTCGCAATGTGGAATAGTTCCTTTGAACTTCATGAGGATTTCTTTTACTGGACAGGAGCGTAGGCTGACAACTTGATGAACCAGAAAAACCTAGTTATGAGACGTGTGAAAGGTCGGTGAATGAAGATATGTAAAGGCTGGTTATGTTTCCCGGTGCTCAGGCCGAAGAAATGGGCTTAGTTGAGGCAACCCAAATTGGGCCTTTGACTGGTCTACAATGCGGCATTTCAATCAGGGATCAGTTCCCTAGACCCTGACTCAGAAGTCCGACGGGCGGGGAAACTTAGGGAGCACTTTCAAGAGCCTGTGGCTCAGCAGTCTGGCCCACTTTACTAAAGGGGACTGGCTTTGCCCGAGGGCAATGAGGGTAAGGCATAGAGACATGATTCTTGATGTTGCTACGCGCGGCAAATGCGTTTGGAATTTCGCCTGGCACGCGACAAGCTTTGTCTTCTGGTAACGGTGTTTGCATGTAGTTTCGGCCGGTTACCGTGCCAGTCTCTGCAGCAATGATTTTGACTCCAGTGTGGAAGTCCGGGAAGGAACTGGCAGTTGCTCTGGTGGTGCCGATCAACAGAAGTCTCATGGGTGACCGTTTCCACCAAGTTTCTCCTTCCAGCAGAGGTGGATTGTTGAAAACTTAGCAGCGAGTGGATTTCGTGAAATGGTTCGACACCAACACCGAGTTGATTAGGTCTAGCGCAATGTACTTAATATGGGGAATAAAGAACGTTGAAGCCACCCAAGAGCAGCAGATGAGTAACTTACGCTGGCTGTCGTCTGAAGGGCACCTGATGTAAGGTCGTCCTCATCCTCCCTGGGACGTCGTAGGGACGATGATACAGCACTGCAATGCGGCATCTATCTTCATTAGCGAGGGCAAGATTGTAGATGGTATTTTTATTGAAGGATGGTGCAGTAAGTTGAGTAATAATGTGCTTTGATGAAAGAAAGCACCCCCACCAACTTTTGCCTTTTACTTGTCTATCACGTCTCACAAGTGACAATCAAGAGACTGAACTTCTGAATTAGTATGCCATGGTTAATCCACCTTTCTGTAATCGGAATAAGATCCTGAAAATCGTTCAGCTGTAGCACCCTTTCGGTGCCTAACTAAACATCATCATCATCACCATCATTATCATCATCATTGTCAGCTGTAATAACCGCGTACTCGTCGTGCAGTGGTCCAGCTGCCGAAGTTTCGTTCGCCTATGATTTGGGGGGGGGGG